AAGGCTTTTTATTTGTCTAAATAAGCTACTACAAGGCTCAAAGAGGCTGAATAAATCCTCCTGAACTAGGGCAGTGTCGGATAATAATACATTTTAATTAACAATAGAGCCACTTATACCCTTGTTGTTTGGTTAACATTAGCTCTCTGTGATGCAAAGGCTGTCAATGGGTACAGCAACTTAATATTGTTCAATGTATAATTAAGAATTGTAATAATATTTTTCAAAGCTTCACTCGAAATATATAGGAAATAATAGTTCTACACCAAGACTGGGAATTTATTAAGGTAAAAGATGATGTGTGATACCCGGTATGAGCCCAGTTTTGTCCTGGTACAAATGTTAAGTCCTGGTCAAGTCCAGATTTAGTTTGGGGTTTAGACTCATTTTTGTTGAGGTGTGGGTAAACAGACACACTTTAAATTGTCATTCAGAGACGTTTGTTGTATCTTAAATGGAACTTGAGTACTCCAAATGCATTAACCATCAAGCCAAGAAATCTTTGAACAAAAAGAAATGTTTGTTTTTTGCATTAACCTTTTATAACTCTGTGAACCTTTTGTATAATTTCATCCAAGATGCAGCCTTCTCTGTTGCTCTGGTCCCAGCCCATCACCCCATTTCATCTTATCTCCACCTCCAATGTGGGTTTACAGAAAGACTTACCAAAAATAAGATAGCAAATGTGTGGGGAATAGACTCAGAAAAGACACCAAAAAAAAAGAAGAAGAAAGAAAAAAACAAACACAGACAAAGAGACAAAAACAATTGCCTATTCTGTTTTTCTGCAGCTAAATAAATCTGACCTCATAATTGAGCTGTGGGAAAAATCTGGCAATAAATAAACTATAACAATACATGTGTAGTTTTATATAATTCAGGTTGGATTCACTCCAGGCTTCGTCAACTATTTCATAACAGACTTTTTAAGAGGTGTGAAGGCTATCAGCAAAATAACAGATAAAATGTTAGCTACATCCAAAAACCTGAGCTGTGAAATATATTTTTCTCTTTGCATAAGTTTGTGGATAATCTCTCCAGACTTGAGCATGCACACACACCGCACTATCGTCAGTGGACAGCATTGGCAGACAAACTTGGGTCTCTTATGTATCGAGTACAGTCATATCAACAGATGGTGCTGCGCTGCCTCTCAGGCCCTCAGGGTTATAGCCCCAAAACTCTTCTCTTTCTGTCACAGTCCGTGGTGGTAAATGTCTCAGTTTCTGCAAATGCTAATTAAGCTCATGTGAGGTGCAGAGACAGTGCAGCGGGCGTGGGGAAACAGGAGGAGCGGAGACCAATTTAAGGACGACAGTGTGAGACAGAGTTGTCCTTCTGCGTCTGTGTCTCTTCAGGGGACAGACGGTCATAAACGAGACACTGGTGACATTCAGGGCCAGTCCTCCTCCGAGATACTGTCCCCTGCACATTCCTCCAGGCCACAGAAAAGTGTCCGAGCCAAAAAACATGAGCTTCATTAGGAAGTGATGGTGGTAATTAAGACGCCATGTTTTGGACTGAAACAAATGAGAAAAACAGTGGGAGGCACTGAGGTAGACAGTTACAAAGACCTGGACTCAGTGAAAACTGAAATGCCCTCGATATAAAATGCAGTTTCTGGATTCATAAGTACAGGAAGTGTACTCACTTCTCAGAGAGTATAAAAATGAAAAAGTATTCCAATAAGTTTAATGAACATGTTTTGTTTTTTTCAATATAGAAGCACTACATTGTACCATTCAGTCAATACCTAGGCTTGGTGATGGCAGTAGCCTCAGATGATTATCTATGATTAAACTGACGAAAGCAAGCCAACCTGCGTCACCTGCCCACCCGTCACACACTCCACATTCAGAGAAGGTACAACCAAATTGGTGGGTGACCGCTTGAACCACAGAGCCACTGCATGCCCTAAAACGAGTACCATTTACTAGGTTTAGTTTAACACCATAATCCTGAATAAAAATCACACAATAGAACAAATATGTCAGCACTCAAAAGCACTTTCACACTGGGTCTGACTAAAAAGGTAATACTTAAACCAGTGATGTGTCAACAACCACTTTGGCAAGATGAGGTGCTCTCACTGCTGCTCCAAGTTGCTCCAAGCTGCTTCTTTGTATTGCTTGAAAGAGTTGGATTATTTTACAGTTGGTTAAAATTTGACATGTTCAATAACTGTGCCAAACACTACCAGAATAAATTTTGATGTTGGCTGTCACTGTACTAAATCCTTTGCACACCAAACCTTTTTATCCCATCGTCAAAACCTTAAAATTTTTATATACTTGTTTTACTCAGACACGGCCTCTACGAGTGGAGACTGCATGTCGTATTATGTCCTTGGGTTCTCTGTAGGTACTCTCTTCAGCAAAACATAATGTATGACTGAGATTATGCAGGTGCTGGGTTGGTGAGACTTAAAAGCACCATTGAAAATCATGCATTTGGACTTGTTGACTTCTTTACTTAGAGACAGACAATTTTCAATCACAAAGTCCAGATCTACTTGTGTCCCCATGCCTAGTCCAAGTTTAAATAGCCATCTGCCATCCCTGAACAAAATAGTAAGGGGGGGAATAAATGCCGTTTCTAAAGATTTTTTTTTTCACATACTTCTCATTGTGTGCACAAATAACTGAAAGCTGTCACTGTTCTAACTCCTGTCCCATGCTTACACCCATTGGTTATTCTCAGTCCGTGCCTGATTTAAATTTAGTTTATTTATTTAGTTTAGTTTAAAATTATAATTTATTTTCTATCTCACAACAGCAACTTCACAGGACTTCACAAACTTGATTTAACCAACAGAAAGATAGAAAATCATACTGTGATACTCACTGATCAGTGATGAACAGATTAATCAACACTGACAGGAAACAAGCAAATGGATTCTATAGGAAAAAAAAAAAAAAAAAAAAAGGCAAAACTGGGGATCCACTCCCATGGACAAACAAACAAGCTGTAGATATGGAGTGATGCGCATCTATTTTCAGATTAAGTTAATTTTTGTCAAAAGTCAACTGTGTAAAAATTTAACATTAGCAATATTTTAAAAAAAAGTGTAAATGCTACATCGGTATATCTGTTAATAGAATTTGTAACACTTTCGTTGGATCCAGGTTAGTAATTCCCAGATCGCATCTTTTGGAGCATTTAGTCTCCTTTTTGTTCATTCTCTTGTTTTACAAAAGACTCAACTCACTTGAGTTGGTTCACATATAGGCCAAACTCAACATTATTTATGTGGTCTGCTGGTCCGCTGGCCTCTTTTCAAGGGCTCTGCATGTATTAATCCCAGGTTAAATTGGGAAGCTTCTGTCTGTGAAAGATTTACCTCTGCATCACAAAAAGCTATTATGCTAAAAACCTTGTTGCTGACCTTAGAATACTGGCGATGAGTAGAATTTTGTGATACTTTTTATGAATATTTTTGCACAAACCTGATTTGATTAAGACTAAACTTACTTGCATTCATGTAGCCTCTAATATCCATTGGTCACATGTGTCAGAGAAACAACATATAAAAGGTTTAGCCCATCAACAGATAAGCAGCTGGAGGACAGAGCAAGTCACGTTCGAATGCCTGGAAAGGAGGAGGTAAACAAATTATCCTGTTATGTGCCGTCAGTGTCGGTGAGCATTAGGCCTGGGAAACCCACTGGGAAATCATAAAGATTAGAGATGGGGAGACTGCCTGAGGAGGATGTGAGGATGTGTGTCTGAAAGAGCACCTCGCTATTAAGGCAGCTGTAGTCAATAAGAGGCTATGTCTATCTCACACACTGAACACTCATGACCATTTTTTCATACAGACACATTCTTGTATAATAGTTTGTGGTGAAATGGTCGGATTTAAGGGTAGCAGACTGAAATGTTCAACAATATAGAATTAAACTCATCTCCACAGAAATAAGCAGGTGATGGTACAGGGCCAAGTATACATGCATACATACATAGCCAGTGTTGGGAAGGTTACTTTTAAAACATATTCCCCTACAGATTACAGATTACATACCCAAAAATGTAGTTTGTAACTTGATCCATTAAATTACATAGAGTAATGTAATCTGAATACTTTGGATTACTTGATTTGCTGTAAAGAAACAAAGACTAGGAAATCTTCACATAAGAAGTTTTGTCTGCTAAAAGACAATAAAAAAGGCCAGTCTTACCTTAACAATATTAAAAATATTATTGATAGAAGAGGAGGAGACACAGTCCATGCAGCATGGTTTAGTCCTGTTAAATCCTGTTTTAGACCTAGTTTTAGACCTGGTTTAGTGTCCGGCAATGAGTGTAATTACCGGGGGGGGGGGAAGGGAACAGTAACACTAACTGAATACAGTTACTCAATTTGTACTCTGATTACGTAACTCCGGTACATGTAATCCGTTACTCCCCAACACTGTACATAGCATATCATATAATCGCCCTTTTTATAATTCTTTTGATGAAATTAAAGCGTATAAATCAAATCCATATTCACTGCACTGAGAGTTGTCAATAAAAGTCTGCTTATTGTGTTGTCTACTAACTAAAATAACATTATTGAACTCCTATTCAATATTTTGAGTTTAGAGGAGAAAAATCAGCCCCATCACACCTTTGAGAGTTCGTCTTGGCTTTAAGCTCTACTCTGTGAGCTCTGAGGTGTTTCTTCATTCCAGACCAAATCTCCATGCCTCAGCCGGGGCAAACAAGAGGGCTGATTGCACTCCATTGCCCCTGTAATTTTCTATGTGGAGTCGGGTCACTCAAGAGCAGCAGACAGCCTTCGCCTCTCACTTTGGAGAAGTGAATCAGATTACATCAACACTCAAAAGTAAAGCCCTCTTCTCAAAACAGTGACTGGAACAGACAGGCCTCAACTGCAAAGTATGAGCTCAGCTAGTGAACTTGAACTTGCAGCTTCATACAACAAGACAGACAGAATTTGCTGAAGTTTTGTTAACATTGTTTTATTCATATCGATTTTGATATTCTTACCCATTTTACTGATTTTTACTTGACTTGCAGGTATATTTTACTTTAGTAGTCTTAAGTACTCCAATACAAAATAACTTAACGACACTTGTGTAATTAGTAGCTAAAAATTCTAAATATTGTATATATTCTAGCAGGATATGACAACACACATTACAGGTCAAGTTTTTATTTAATTACAGGGATAAAAATAGATTTTTTTGTAAAACTCTTAAAATACAACACCGCATTAAACATTTCAAATTATTTAAACCTCACTCTCCTGAAAACACATTTTTTACTAAATATTTAAACATTTAAGTGAATAAACTTTTCTAATGGATGCATAATAGATGCAGAAAGTTCAGAACAATTCGCATTTCTGTCGTGGCCTGGTTCAAGTGCACTTTTGCCATGCTTTGCGCTCAGAGTTTTCACAGTGGGCTCTTCATTACTGCTGTTCAGCCCTTGATCAAACGTTTGACAAGTGATTAATCAGGCGGGCAGCCTCGGCGGAGCAGCTCAAAGTTAATTTCCACACTTGTGCGTGTGACGATGGATGTGCACAGCCTGTCCCACGCTCAGGGTGACCTCTGGCCTTCACATTTGCTAAGATTACATCCACAGTGACAGCTCCGCGCGAGTCCTCCTCACGCACCACTACCCCGCGCACATCACCAAGGCGGCGCACAGTTAGACTGTGAAAGTGCAGTCGGGACGGCTCAGGGGAGACCGAGTGGACAGGAGGGAAGACAATGTCCTCTTGGACAAGCCCAACGTGTGTGTCTGTGACAAAGAGCTGTCCTACCAGACTCCGTTTGGAAGGAAAACATATCCCCACACAGAAGTAGAGGTGCAGACGCACCTCTCCCAGAATCCTTTGCTCTGGGCTGGTGTTGGAGTGAAGCAGGTACATCAGATCAGCCAGGCTCCTTTGAAAACGACAGAGCACCCTCAAACCTGTGTCCAGCAGCAGGTCAGGTACAAGAGCCTGCCACTTTAAGGACATATCCATGAGGTCCCCGCGCAGCAGAGGATGCTCAAACACGCTCGTGTCTGATGGACAAAGGAGCTGGAGCACTGCTCCACACAGCTCTCTGGTGAGGGACTGGCTGTAGGTGTACAGTCCCAGGACATGGTCCTCTGTGGGGCCCAGGAGGTTCAGACTGTGGCCTGCAAAGCCGACGTGCACCTTTTTAAGCTGAGCCAAAGGCAGCTGATAAAACACCTCTAGAGCTCCACAGTGATCAGTGACCGTGTACACGCCAGCCTCCATCAATATCAGCAGAGCTGGGACTGCCTTTGATTCACTTCTTTTAGATGCTTCCAACCAGAAAAGAGCAACAATCTTTTGTGGTGTGAACAGTGAACAAGGAATGATGGACTGTAGCGCAGCTCCCAGGTCTGAGTGAGACAATTGTAACTTTGTGAGTGAGTCAGGGAAAGTGATTAATGATTGAAAGAAGATACTGGCACCTTTACGCCACAATACTGTTGGAATATCCTGTGTTTGGTCCTTGTCTAGCTTACAGCTGGGTTGCATAATCGCTTTTAACTTCACTTCATCAGCTTGGTCATGATCCTGTGGCAAATTACTACTCAAAGTGTTTTTACAGTCATCGCTTGTATCCGCACTGTGCTTTTCTGGGACAGTAAAAATCAGATTAGCACAATTCTTGGTGCATTCTTGAATTTTTATTGGGCTCATCGCCTGAAGGTGCTGCGTCATCTCAAACTGAATGTGTTGAACAAGGGGCAGATCTTTTACCAATGAAAATATCTGAATATCACTGAATAGAGATGTAATGTAGCCATCTTTAACCACTGAAATTACTTTGCTATTCTTTATCATGGAGACTACATGACTGGACCAACCTACACTGGCAGGATACAGCCTTTGCTCTAGTACATGCTGTAACACAATGGAGGAATTCAAAATACGGCGACTTGCACCTTGTACAATCCAGGACATGGTGTTGACCAAGGATCCCAAACCTATTCCTGGGTAAGGTTTTGCGCTCACTTCTAGGACCCCCTCTTGCCCCTCATCTCCATCCATCTCTCTATAGAAAGACTGCTCCCGTGTGGTGACTTCATTGGTAGGACAGCTAACAGCCTGACTGCTGAGAGGTGTTTTGTCGAATTCAGAATGAGAACTGAGCGTGCTGGCTTGTTGCAGGACGGGCGCGGACTTGCCTCCTTCAGCGTTCGGCAGGTGGGATACGCCGGATAATGAGTTCCCACCTGAGTCTCGTCTCCCCTCGATGCAGTGAGCCGTGACTTCTTGGATCTCGTTAGCGCTCCCTACTGGCCCGGTGCCACATCCATCACCTCGGCCTGGGACACTCGTCTGCTGCAGGCTGGCATCCCCTGACCGCACCTCTCCCCCGCAGCAAGCTCCCCTCCACAGACCCTCCGACGTGAGCTCTGGCCCTGATTTATGACACCGGTCCCACTCCTGCTCAGGGCGGTCCCGGGTGCGTACATCGCCCTGATGTGCCTCTCCATCCACTGAATGAGGGACAGCACTTTTTACAGGTGTGGCCTAGTTAGCATTTTGTGAGAGAGAAAAAAGAAAAGTTCTGTAAATATAACAGCTTTGTTTTTTGTATACATTTATGTGTTGAAATTGGATCTAAATAAACAATGTGTCAATAGGGGTGTCAGGATTATGCCTCAGGTCACAATGATTGTATGAAATTTAGAAGCAAAAGTCATTCCAACTGAAGCACAAAAGTAAGCCTATGTGTAAAGTACTTTTTTCACAGGGCCAGTATCACAGCAACATGGAGGTCAGTGAACTTGTTTCTTTTATTAAGTGAGAGATTTAAAATGTATAACGTATAACATATAACATAATGACCCTCAGGTGTCACAGATTATAACTATATATCCTTTACTTTATCATTTATTATAACAAAGAATATGGACAAAGTTCAAGGTCCAAAGTGTGCATCAAAATTAGACTAAAATTAGACTAAACCATGACTAAAACATGGCTAAAATTATGCAAAAGCCATATTTTTAAACACTGTAGAATTGTCTCATAGCAATGTGTCCATCATCCTAAGTGAAACCCCTGCAGGAGAGTATAACTGGGTTTAAGTATGTGCATAATAAACAAACATAATAAGCCTGGGGAAAGAGCATTTCATGGCTCATAAAAGTCTGTATTGGCCTTGGCTGGAATAGGGAAATGTATTGACATTTGCCATTTTCTGTAAAGACATGAGGGACTGGGCCTGCTGTTCACGGTGACATCTTTGAATAATAACTAACTTGCCATTTCTCCAGCTACAGTGTTTGTAAAGAATGTGCATACGTACACTAGTAACAGGTCTCTCTATTGAGCAGCTTGAATCCAAAGACACATTCACAGATCTGCAAACACATCAAACAAAGTGCAGCTATTTACTGATTTGGTATAACAACAAGAAAAATCCAATTGCTACCAAAGCAATAAAGTTAATGCTGAACATCACTGAAAATCACTGAATTCAAAGTTAAAATTATAAAAAGATGCCAACTACCTGAGTTAAGGTTGATTCAAAACTATTACAACACTGTACAGAGTGATAAAAGTATTTGCCTGCGTTGATACAGCAGTTAATGTGGTTGTTCTACAGAACCTTTGTTTTTATGTTTTTATCGTTTTGGCATCTCTATGGATGTTTTGTTTGGTTGCAACAAACAAGGTGACTTTTGCCCCTCAAAAAGATAATACATTTTAAGTGACATGTCACAAAGCTTCCTCTAAGGTTATGACAGGAAGCGTGCGTAACGTTACAATTGGTTGTCAAAATTACCTACTATAACAGCCAACAGGTACTACTTGCTTCACTCGGAATTTTCACAAAGATTTACCAAAGCATATTTTATTACAAGCAATCTTCAAAAGACTTAACTGCTGCCCAAACTTTAGCAAAAACCACCATTAGATTTGAGAAGCCCAAACGGTTGGATGAGATTAGAGTCACTCAGCTAGCTGTGAAATTAAATAGAATCTGTGAATGTTGATTTGAGGATTTGCATACAATACTGAGCACTCTTGACGAGGGAACAGAAAGCGTTGTACGATTTCTGACTGTAAACAGCAGCTTAGACGAGGCTTTGTGCTGCAGCAGGTTGAGAGACGGACCGGGGGCAGTCAGCCTTTCACAGCATCAACAAGGGAGGGACACTGCGCCGGTCCAGGCAGCGATTAAAGGATTTTTAGGATGAAAAAAGGATGTTCTGTACAGTATTTGTGTCTGTTCACCTGTCTGAAAGAATAACCTGATATGGGATTCACCGTGTAAAAGATGCTGACCAGAGAGTAATGAATTGTTGTTTGGCAAATAAAATGTTACTTAACACCATATTGTGGTGATTAAAGCTTCTTGTTGTTTCCGTAGTATTAGTTTGAAACTTTATGTTGTGATGTTTGCAGGTTTTTTATCATTTAAACGCACTTAATTTGTATATTGTTTACCAATTAAATGTAAATCTGGTTTCGTGCACTAAACCACTAAAGGTGCACTTAGTACATTTTCTGGTGTAAGGTTCATAACCTCTTCTAGGCCAAATAAGCAAGCCTGCTCACAGTAAGGAATTTTGTCTGTATACATTTTGTTTGTTTATATGGTCAATGAAATAAACACATCCATAATGAAAAACATGCTTTAAAAAAAAAAAAAAAAAAAAAGTTTCACACTGGAGCATTAATATTTGAAAAGTGTGAATATTTTTTAACTTTTGAGTTTTTTGGGTTACTCTATCCACCTGTGCATGATTTAGAAAATATCTGGAGATTTGTACATTTTGGTTTATGGAGCTCTTGCTGTGCAAACGGTAAGTACACAACAAATTCATTATAAAATCCCGAGGAGCGCTGGACTCTCTCAAACTCACCCAGTGCCCGGCTCTTCAGTCTGCGCCCCCTGTGATGCCTCTGCTTTCGGATAAAGAGGGTCCCTGCTGCTTCCACTCTCAAATCCTTTAATATCCTTGCTGCTTTTGCTCACTTCTGGATCGTCCTGCTGCCACTGCGCCCCCTGCGGGCTGAGGCTGCACATAAACTCCATCGCCCTGGACATGTCAGCAGGAAAACATGGCAAAATAAAAACAAAACTCAATGGGCTGAATCTAAATTTAAGTTTGCAATTACTGTCGCCAATTATGGCCCTTTTAAAAGTCATGACTTAGGGTTGTGAGCTGCAAACAAAACTAAATCTAAAACTTGTTTGTTCATGAAGGTTCAAAGGTCAGTGTGAGATTCATAAAAAATACATTACTTAATTGCCCTGAGTACTTTCTAAAACGCGTGAGGTTGTGGTGACATTGAGATTTGCTTGAATAATTCATGATTTGTTTTGGCTCTAGCTCTGCCAGTGGGTAAGTGTATGAAAACACCCAGAGCTCCTGCAGGTTCAGTGGCTGCACTGAGCTGAGGGCTGAGTTAGTGAGGAGCTCCCTGAAGAGAGCGCTCATAACAGGCTGCTGTGGTCAGAGGGCCCAGAGAGGGTCCATGCTGAGGGGACTGTCAGCGCTGCAGGGGGGCCGAGGGGGTCCAGGAGCTGTTTTGGGAAAAGTGGCTCAAATACATCAGAGTTTGGGTTTAAGGGGCAGAATTGTGCACAGTGAACAAAATTCAGTGGTTAACACTCACTAACAAAACAGGTATATGATAGTATTAGCTTTCCCCATACATTTTGTACAGAATATAATGATCAAATATCAAAACAGAACATTGATTTACTATGAGTGATATTTAGTTGTTAGTATTAAGAAGAAAAGATCAATACATGTACAAAAAAACCCAAAAACAAATCAAGTCTGTTGCCGCTCCAAATAGCAGCCTTAGCAAACAGGATAAAGATAGTGTAGTGTAGTTAGAGATAACATCCTTGCACTGAGCCTATACATTGTGCAGATAAATTTACTTTTGTATCCACACTATGCCATGTCGGGGCATCAGGGAAAGAGGTCTCAAATCCCCTGAACACAATGAACACAGCAGCAGAGAGAAAATTGTACACCAAACAGATGCTGTAAAACAACATTATCAGATCTAAAAGGCTCTGGGTCTGAAATTGGTCACCACTTGAGGCTGTGGTAAATAACAACAGCGCAGATTGAATTTTGGGACTTGTCCAATGAGAGGAGAAACTGACAAATCGATAGCTGCTCTTAAAATCTGGCACAGGAGATAAAATGTCACATTAACATTGAGCTCTGCAGACTTCACAGACAATTGCAGCAAACTGGAATAACTTCTTAAGAGTAGACAAACAGATACTATCAAATTTAAGACATTTTGAATGACTCCAAATAGCAATTATTTAAACAACTACAACAATCATGTCACAATTGCACCCAACAATTGATTCTCAAGTTTGAGATGACTGTACTGAAAAGATTTGATTAAGTGCTTTATAGTCTAAATTCTGCAATTTGTATCAGGTTTGGTTCACCGATTTCCTCACTCAACGTTTTATGAAATCCAAAAGGCAGTTTCTGAAGTTAAATTGAAAATGGTTTTGATAGCATCTATTATAACTAAATAAGATGGATCTGTAAGGCTTTTGAGCAGGTGATTGACTCATATTATCGAAAACAAGTTAGCTTGCTTATCGCAAGTTTCCCACTATTTCAGAATTATATAAAATAAAATAGTGTACAATCTACTGGATGTGTTCTGTAGGATATCTTTAAAATTACTTTTAAAAACAAATTGGGAAAAGTAGAGTAAAGCTGTGCAACAACAAAATTTTATTCAAGACTCACTCATTTCTAATAGTCACTAATAAGCTTGAGGCTTTTTAATCAAGAAGAAAAGCGCTTCTAAACTCATCGCGATTTGATGTTCGGAATGCATAAAAACAGGAATAACTGCAAACAGTTTAAAATGAACCATTTCTGTTGTTTACGTTTTAGGCCAGTAAAAAGTGGGTACAATACTTTTGATAACTGAAAAAATATTACAAGTTTTAACTGATAAACATGAGGGGTGAAAATGATATTTTTTCAAGCAGAGAGTAGTCTGCCATAAATTTCTCCACAGTTACTAGAGACCAGTCCTTGACCAGTAAAAACCTGGGGCAAAAGGCAGAGAGAGAAATCCATTCCAAGTCTTACCCTGGTCTCTGCAGCATCACCTTGGACAGGCTCTCTGCAGACTTGGACGTGTCCGTGAGAGACAGGCTGACGGCCGACAGCAGTCCGCTCTGTAACACAAGGAGACAGGGCCAAGGGTTAGAAATGGAGAAATACGCACATCAAATATACAGACTTTAAAGAAATGTTCACTACATGAGGGTTAGTGGTATTCAAATTCTAGAAAGGGATGATGTTATATGGCCAGATCTTTCGGAAATTGCTATAAAATTTACCAAAAATAAACTTACAATTGTGTAACTTGATCATTTCTGTTAGTGACAAGACCCAGGAACTCACTACATCACAACAAAAACCTGCATTTTAAGTATATTAATTTTAGCTGCCCCCCATCTGTACATCTGCATTAAATATTATTGGCCTATAGAATGTTGTCATGTGATCTGATACCAAGCAATTCAATGATTATGTACTTTTTATGTTCAAGAGCTTGGCCTATTCTTGTTCTGTCATTTTAGTGATCAATAATAGCCCATTTTAAACTTTTAGAATGAGGATAATTTAGATAATTATAGTAGTTTTATAAAATTACACTGTCAATGCGATGTAAGCAATTACAATCTATAGTCGAGTTACAAATGAATAAATCGTGCACAAAAGTTTAAGTCTAAATGTCATTACTTTATATAAACTTAAACACTCAATATTCATCTTGAGCACATGCAGACATCCGTGGTACAATATTTGTTCAACCTGAGCTTTGTACACAGACACAGGTGCCATGTTACCGCAACCACCTGGACTAAACATACATACATTTGTCATGCAAATAATGTTATTAATTCTACAGCAATATTATCCATCATAGTAACATATATTTTAAGGGTTCAGAATACTTCTCTGAGGTGCACCACAAATTAGAATTTTGTGTATGAAATAACGATTTAAGGTACACTATAACTTCTTAGGTGGAGGGTCCGCCACTAGTTTCCATGGAAAAACTATAGTTTTGCCTGGAATGTCCCACTGTACCACATTAAACTTACCCAAGTCCACTACCAAAGTTAAAGAGATTTTGAGCTTCATGTTGTTGTAGTACACAGCATACCTTATTGATGTTTTGCAAGTTTGTCTTTTAGCATCTTATGGCACTTAAATAAGGTCGGTAAGGGACTATGGTATCAGATATATGGAGCGCTTTATGGAGGATGAGAATTCATATTTTTCAGATTTTTTGAGCAATAACAATTCAGTGAATGGATTCAAAACCAATGTGTCAAAAGTATTATTGTGGAACATTCCAGGCAAAGATAAAATAAAACCTCCATGGAGACAGCCACGTGGCAGACTTCCCTCCAAAAAGGTACATAGTGCACCTATAACCACATTTTTATAACCACCAAACTTTTAAAAATTATTCTGAAACATCAACAAAGTCTCGAGTCCCAACTGAAACCCAGTGTGAAAATACTATGCCAAGAGAAGGTTTAACAAATGGACAAAAACTGCAGCTACTGCAGTGCACCTGGAATTCATTTTACGGGAAACAATATACCATTGAATTTTGCACAAAGTACGCGACTGACTGAATCAACCAATTATAACAGAGAAAGATTCACACTAAACAGAAAACTGGCAGAGGCCGACATGGCAGGTTAGCAGGTGTTTGTGTTTAAAACCAGAGCTGGGCCTGTGTGGATCAGACTAATGTGCAGTGAAGTGTGAGCGAATGAGGAGCTGTCGTTATGGAAACAAAGAGTAGGATGTCGACTATTACTAAACAAGAAACAGACGTTGTATTCATTTAACACTGTATTGTTATAGTGGCCTTACCTGCCGTTTCGCTCTGAGGATGGCAGCCTCGGTCGGGTGGTTAAACCGAAACATGGCGTCTTTCCCAATTTGTATAATGGTTCCTAGAGAGAAGACATATTGAGATGGTAAATTCTTACATATAGAACATAAATATTAAAAATGAATCTCAACCTCCGTATCCTTATCCCATAATTATATGAATCTACTTCAAAGTGCACTAGGTAACTTTTCTGGTAGAGGGGCTTCACCTTAATTGCTGTTTTGTTAGTAAAGCCAATGTTTTTAAACCTTAAAATAGTATGAACCATTGTTATAGTGATTAAAAACAAAACTACAACTATTACTGACAGAAGTTTGAGCATAGGTATAATAACAACAACAACAGTAGTAGTATCAGTAGTACTGCAGTCATTTTATACTTGATAGACTTATATTTGATTCTGTATTGTTTTACTTTATAACATCTACTATCTAAGTGAATATGAGTAATGAGTAAGTATTATGAATAGTAAAAATGTACCTCAAACTTTGGGACCAAATAGTAATAGCATTAAGATGTCACACATAACAGTTTTGCCCATTTTAACAATACAAGCGGCTGTCATACATACAGACAGACAGTTGGGATTGCCTTGCACCAAACTTGACAAATTGCAGAAAAGGTTGGTTTTATTCTGTGAAACGGTACAAAGAACACAATTCCCAGAGCGATTGGCAGTGACCTAGACTGGGAGGATTTAGGGCAAACTTGTGAACCTCTCATATTGAAGTTATATTAGATGTTATATATCGGATCATGTCTCGTACTGCTGTATCCATCTAGATTTTTTTTTTTTTACTCCCAACTCTCCCGGTCTGGTCCTCGTCTCCTCTGTGCACCAAATACTAATCTAGCTACTACTAATGACTTCTGACGAGTGACAAAGGAGCTGAGAGGGCAGCGTGTGATGGATCCAAGCAGCTGTAGAACTGGAAATTACTATCATTTGTTCAAGAAAATAGCCTCAGATGCAGCAATTTCTGACGGAGATATTGGATAAATTGAAATGGTAAAAGAAACTATAGTGTGGTTGTGCACCGTGCTGCAGCCTGGAGCAAATCTGTTTTTATATGTTGAAAGATAAAAGACGACAAGTAAGTTAAAAAAATATATATATACATATACACATACAAATGGAAAATTTAAATTAAGATTTTTTGTTTTAGCAGCTTAGTAAATGGTGCATTTTTTTTTTAATCAATGGTTTGTCACTAGCATCGTATCACTCTATTTTCTATTATTTTAGTTGTAATTTGTTATGGTGGAGAATAAGGCACAAAGATGTATACTGTAAGTACTATATAACATTCAGTCACTAAATACTGTGTAGTTTTTATGAGGTAAATTGTGATGATTTCATAAACCCAAATGGGAGGGCAAGAGTTTACTCTATTGATTACATGGTTTTCTCATATTGAAAAGGAAAATGCTCAATTTGATCATTTCAACTAGTGACTAGACTCTAAAACTCAATTTTAGCTCTCCCAATTTTTCATGAAATATTAATGACATTCATGGGTTTCAGCTTCCAGTTATGTGCAACAGGACTTTTTCTCATTCAAAAAGATATATTTTGCTTTAAATTGTTAATCTCTATGGCAACAGTCCTAATTTTTCCATCAATTTGAAACCCTTGGATGAAATGGCGTGATCTCATCTAAAACTCAGCAATATATTATTAAAAAGAATTATCTCAATAAGCTGCACAAAAAAAGCTAAACTTGAAATAGATGAAAGCAGTTTTGGATGGTGACAGGCAGACTCCAGACTCAGGGGAGTTTTAGCTCGGCTCGCCCATGTCCTTTAAAAGGTTAAAGCTCTGGCCCACTTCAAACCTGTCGTCATATCAACTCCATCTGCCAATTAAAATGGAGGGCCCGGGGCTTTGTCTGAGGCTTTGTTCGGACCCTGGTGCCCTTCAAAATGTTTAGTAAGAGAAATGGCATCTGCCCTGTGGAGTGTGCATAGTCCACTCCAGCTGCTGCGGGGAAACCAGGGGAATAAAGTGGACTTCATTTGTAGATGTAATGCAGTGATCTCATGCTATTTCTTCAAAAGGGAAAAGTGCCACGGCGTACCACCAGCGGCTAAACGATTGTGAGCTTAGGAAAAGGACTCTATTATAGAACTTATAGAGGAGTAGGCATTTCATTTCCAGAATAACAGTGCGTTTCAAAAGTCTAAGAAAGAGGGTTAAGGCGGTAACAAAGAATCTAAAACAAAGCAACCTAGGACATAAAAAAAACACTGTTTGGACCTCTGCCAAGGCAGTTGTCTTCTCTGGCAATGGTAATAATGTATAACCCAGACCAGAACACACTTAAGAATTGTGTAGTTTAGCAGTTGTACAATGATTATTAAATGTATATGATAATTCTTAAAAAAAAAAAATATATATATATATATATATATATATATATATATATATATATATAGAAACTTGTGCTTGCCTGGATCAAAAAGGTGGATTTACCCAAACGGTACACTTTGATAGTTTCAATACAAAAACAAAATTAACATAAGCTATTTAATGACTTGAGTGCAGTCACAAAGTAGTTTTGTTATTGTACCTCCACAAAGTACTTACCCTGAGTCAGCTGGCAGGGAGCAGTAACAACCGATCCATTGACCAAACATAATGCACCATCGTGAGGAGAGAACGTAACAGCGCCATCTTGGTTTAGCAGCTCACAGTGTTCTCCGAGAATCCCCGGCCCTTGCAGCACTGTACAATAAGCACAAAGAGGTTTTACAATAGCCTGGGGAAATAAAAGCTAAACCTGCACAATTTGTTAAAGCCGCCCCAACTTACCAATATCCTGACCACATAATGCTTCATTGCTCCCAATTGTGGTTTGACCCTTCTGTTAAAAAAAAAAAAAAAAAAAAAAAAAAAAAAAGAGTTCATGAACCCTGGACAAAGGTCACAAGTAAGTGCTGCATTTTCTAGATTAATTGGTTGTTATACAATGTACAGAAACAATTTATTTCTGCATGATGCCATTAGCAAAAGCATGTGTTGAGGTTTTGCCCCCAAGAGGTAATGTGGGAGTTCCAACAAAAATATACAACTTTAATAGATTATAGATTATATGGAGACTATATGGAGTTTGACCAAGTTGTTTAGGTCAATGGACCTCTTAACAGAGTATGTTCAAAACCGACATTCTTGTGCTGTTGGGGTCACAACATAAAAACATCAACTGCTCCATCTCAGACGTTTTCCAAAGAAGAACAAAGAAATTAACCATCAACAGAAGAGAAAAGATGGTTAGTTCAAAGAAAAGATGTACACATCCAAAAGCTTTTATAGCAGGACTACAAAAACATGTCAGCCCTTCATCATACAGGTCTGAAACATCACTTGGTCTATGCAAAAAAATTGTATATTTGTATATATTATCATTACAAATTATTACGTATGAATTAATAATAATATTAATTACAACTTAATACTTAAATGGGAACTAATACAGACAGTTTTGAGACATAAAACATGGTTGGATCATGTGGTCTAATAAGTTAATTTAAAAACTCTGTTATTTGCAAAGCACTAACGAGATACCACTTTTAAGTTTTGTTGTGATGACAAAGATTGATTAAGATGATTCTAAGTGCATAAAATAACACAGGAGGTTAAACAATTACAGTTGTACATACTTTTAGATAGTAGAGGATGATGCCAGAGCCCAGCAGATCATCGATGCCGATCAGGTGCGGTAACTGACAGTCCAAGACCACACCACTCCTCCTCTTCCTCAGAACCACAGTCTCCTCCTGTGAAACAACCAAGTACATCAGATGACTAATATATACCATAGATAAAATGGCACACAATATAAAACAAAAATGCTGATGGACATTTAATAGCAACCAGCAGAAAACTGAATTCTTTATGACTTGCTCTTCCTCGCCCGAAGGCCAGAGAGAATAGCAGCGATCCAACCATGTGTCGCCAGGAAACAGCAGAGTGGCTAACGGCAAACAGGGCCCATAAATCATTCAGATTATGGGGCAAACTGTACATCGAAAGCAGAGAGTGAAACCAAGCCCGCGCCCACACAGGTGCTCCGTTACCACGCTCCACTGGCTTTATTGATACAAGACTATCAACACTGTATAAGGATATTAGAATGGCTCATAAACATTCAGGTTTACACAAAATGAGAGGTTTGTCTTTTACAATGGATTTCAAAGGCGTTTGTTTTCAAAGGTCAAGCAAAGTTTGTTTTAACACTTTAATCAAGTTTAGTCCAATTATTATCCTTCATTAATTTTACAAATTCATATGCAGCTATAGTCAAAACAATACAACATTTTCTAAACAGTTAATAATCAGATTGTTGGCTCATTCATAAACTTGTCTTCTCCAACAAAGTTTACACCCTGACCTGGAAAATGTCAGTATTTTACAAGTCTCCTGCACCAACACTAGTCATAGGACAGTTGGGAAATATGGAAAAGCTGTGGGCTTAACTTATTGATGTGGTTTGGGTAAAAAGTAGATTCTAATCAATAACCATCACAAATACTATAGGATAAGGGTTGGAACCAAAAATTGGTGATGGCCATAGCGTTATTGCTTCACGTGAAATATTCCACAGTATAACATTACACTTCTATCTTAATTTACTACAGGTGTTTTTCTAAAAAATACTTTCATTCTTCCTGTGAGCGGGGTGACCCTTGTGTCCATGGGATGTGATCTCTATTTGCAAAAAGGTACCAAGAAAAAAAAAAAAAAAAAAAAAATCAACATATTGCAGTTAATATTCTGAACACTCTTAACTAAACAACTCACTAACTTCTCATTATCAAGACCACCAATGAAGACATCAGCCATTGCTCCAACAGGGCAAAAGCTGTGCCCCATGACCCAGACGTAGCCTAAATTTGAGTGGCCCTATCCATGGTACTTTTCTGCTAAGCTGCTGGCCTAATGCTCGGATTATCATAAGCACCTCCCAAAGAGACAGAGCAGAAAATCTCTCACATTAGGTATTCAGACACTGCTCTGTGCATAAACTAGGAGGCAGTTTTTGACCCTCCTCCCTTCTCCCTTTTGTATAGATTTAAGCATACGACTACGGCCTGAGTCGCTCACTCATTGGCAGATGTGAAATGGAAGAAATCCTTATTTTCTAATGAGGAGGGAGAGCCATCGACCCCAGCGTTGCACTTAATTAAAAGGGATCCTTCACAGACTTCATTAGAGCCAGACAGGCACTTGGCAGATTAATGCACTATGTCACTTTCCTTAGACATCAGGAACAGATGAGATCCTGCTATTTCTGCACAAACCGAAGACAAACTTGTCCCGAACAGCAACCTCCAACGTCTGAACATTTTAGGACAGAAAGTCAGCTTTTAAATTTGAAGCACGCAGCAATTAACTGTGCCCTCAACAAGCATCTGGTATTTTGCAGCATTTAAGCGTCCATTAAAAGCAATCATCTACGTTTAAATGGGAATTTAAATGGTAATTTGTGAACAGAATAACAAGTTGGACACCTGACTTTAAGCATTTGTATTTTTAAATCATTGCTAAATTCTATTCAATACATTAATCTTGAGTTATTTTGACTGGAAATTAAAAAAAAAAAAAGAAAAGTGAATTAAAGTGATTCAAAATTAGTGATTCAAATTTCAGCATGATCGAACTAAGTGTTTGTAAGATTTAAACAAAAAAATAAATAAATAAAAAATTGGGGGTGGGGGATCTTTGCACCTCTGCTGGCCAATGGTGAAAAACGCCCAATGTCCATAATATATTTTCTGTTTGTAATCATGCATAAAATGTAATTCCCAAATCTGGTACAAATCCAATAATGATGACATTTCGTGTCTACTGTTCTTTGCCGGTTTCTTCTTATTTGACTTGTTAGGAAATCGTATTTTATAGCGCCCCCTACCATAGACATGAAATGTCGACATTATCAGATTTGTACCAAATTTGGGGATTACATTGTACCAAATTGGGGACTACAAGCAAAAATATATATTATGGACATTGGGCATTTTTCACATACACTTCTGGTAAAGAGTCCACCACCTTACTTTGCACTAAATGTTCCACAGTCTGGCCTTAAAATTATCCAATATGAAAACATTCTACGCAAAGCAAGAACAGACAGGATGGTGTAAACACCACCAGAAAAGTTAAATTCTGCACCTTTAAGGCATCCAACTATATCCACATGCAACTTCTCAAATAGTTGGTTGGTCCAACGAACAGTCATATATCTTCTGCTATCCCCAATATTTTGTAGTAACAGGGGTTTGCATGTTTATTATCAGAATTAATGACTAGTAATCATTAAAAGCATGCCCTTTTCTGCTCAGATGCCACTTACAACTATAACTTAGCCTTGATATTTACAGCAGAATAAAATGGAACAAAGACATGAGAATTAGTAAAAGTTGTGAAGTGCCGATCCATGATGCATAACTTCTAACAGTGTGAAGAAAATTACTTTCAACAGAGCAAGGCTTAGAGTCTTTGGCAAGCTTTTGTCTTTTTGCTGATTGTAGCGTTTTGGGAAAAATACAAGAATTAAGGATCAAAGTCGCACAGGTTTGTTCATTTTATCATTAAAGAAGGCACCTCCTGGATGGGCTGTGCTGCGGATACAAAAACATTTCATCTTCCTACCTTTTTGTTCTCAATCGGCCAGCGCTGTCTGGTTAGGGGGCGCACTGGAATCCATCTCATATTAATTACATTCTCTCCCCCACATGCCCCGTAACCAATCTGGGAAGCTGACAATGAATAACTTAGCATCCAAAATCTGCTTGGAATACTGAAATCATTATTTTACTTATTATGGCTGGTCAACTTGTATCTTTATAGCCACCACACAAAAATAAGAAAAATCATCAATCTTGCATCCATAGCATTGCAATTAAATACTGAAATAAGCCTCTTGAATATTAATTTACTATGTGGTATTATCATATTTACATTGGGAGTATGGTTTTAACTTATTCATGCCACAACGCATTTCATTAGAATTACAATTACATGATGATGTTTATGGGTGTATGACCAGCATTTTAAGTAAAGAGAGGAAGGTTTAGCTCAATGCATTTTAGGCACATTATAAAATATTAGGCTTTCAAAGAGACCTCAAATGGATGCAAAGATTTAAATATTTTACATGAATCTGACCCTTATGTGACATCGCACACACTTGATATCAATTAAGGAAGCTGGAAAGAATAGCAAAAATCTGTAAGTATAAAACCACAGCAAAACTAAATTTACAATGACTCATTTCACATTCTGAACCACTAAACTAGGACTACAAGTAATCTAAAACACAACCAAAACTAACCAGAATGCATCAGGTGCACTGTTTAACTTTTATATGAGGATCTGCCATATACTTGTTGCCATGGAGAGGTTAATGCTTTGAATGGAATCTTCCACAGTATGGCATTATGCGCACGTACGTCCATGGACACAATCATATCATTCTAACTTTTTGTAGTGTGTTTTTGCATTACCTGTAAATATAAGTGTTTGAGGTGCGAACAAGCCACAACAATTTAAAAAGGAACCTACATGTTTAAAAAACCCAGATTCAGAACCAAGGTTATGGAGTGAAGCATTACTGTGAATGGAGTTAAATTATGGAATAGTCGTGGCAAAGATATAAAAGAATCAAGTACAATGACGGCATTTAAAAAACACGTAAAATCCAATGCAATGTGTATGTATGAAAAATAAAATTAAAGTTGTTATGTATAATAGTGAAGATTTATTTTTGTAATTGATTAATAATTGTGCCTGCCCTGAACTGAAATGTACTGATTTGAAATGTTTTAAATTGTTGATGCATTGTCTTGAAAAGGGAGCAGATAACATAAGATGACTACTTTCTGCTCCTTTTCATTCATTTCAAGTATGTTGATGTCTTTTTATACTTTATGAATGATATAAACAAATAAAAAAATAAACAAACACCAGTAATTTAATACATTTAAGATAGATTTCTTTAAAGCCTTACTGTATAAATTTTAAACAGAGCAATGTCACCCCCATGGAGACAAGCTGCAGCATGGTCACAAGTAGTAGGCTAACCTTACCATAGTTTGGATGCTCAGATTCACTAAAACCAGTAAAGTGTCTCATAGAAATAGCACTTTCAAAAATAGTGAAGATAAATGTCAAATGCATAACGTGATCCATCAAACACCATGTATGCGAGCGCCTGCTGGACATCGCAGTGGTCTAGTGTCTGGCTGTCACATCAGATCTGCCTAATAACAGGTGTATCCACTCTGATGCACACCACCCTAAGTGAGAAATGAAAGGGAGAGACAGGACTGACACTGGATTCAAAATATAAAGCCATCAATGCTCGGCAACAAATTTACAACACCGCAATTTCAATTAGTATGCCGGACAGTGAGAAATTAAAGTGCCATATGTCAATAATCACAACCTTCTAATTAGGAGCTCTGACATCTGCTAATGAGTCCAATACGGTGTGAGGAATAAATGCTGGCAAGCCACGAAATGCCATTTATAACTTGCAAAATTGAATGTTAATTACCCCACATGCATAACCAAAGCTAACATCTATGTGTCATGTTAATGTTACAAGTCCGCGAGCACATCTGATGAAAATTAAATTATCAAATCAATAAAAGATCCTTCATAATTATGTCTACTTGAAGAATTAACAGCTAAATTGTGGCTAGATTTATTGACATATGATGTACTGCAAAAAGATACTACCTAATAATTTTCTGGTCTGGCTCATCTTGCAATCCAATGCATAATGCTTGAGACTTGGCAGGAAAAGATGACTCTCTAACAGATGACATTTGCTGTTATTTGGGAAGTTGGGCACAAATTCAACAGTGGAAACGCATTCAGTGTGCTCCGAGTTGGCAACCGTGAGATTTATTTTGGCCAATCGAGGTTTTACACGGCTGCTGCTAGCCTAACCCGGCATTAGGAAAAACATATTGGGTTAAAGGAGCCATGTCTGTTCAGTTTTCTGCTAGCCCAAACACAGTAGCACATTTCAACACCATTTACCACAACTACGTCTTAAAACATCACTAAAATAAAACTACTCTGTAAATTCTATGCCAGTGTGACTAACTGTGGACTAGACTGTATAGTATGAAAGGCCTGCAGTGACACCATGTGGCAAAATTTACATACTACAATGAACAGGAATTGCTTCAGAAAAGGGGTTGTTCCAAATTGAGCCACAAGTAAGTTATCTTGTCTATTAAAATTAAGTGGTTACGAAAGCGTGTCCTGGCCAGAAAGAACCTTCAACTGACAATGGTGGACACTATAACATGGTGACTATCTTACTGGAAAATTCTTGAACAATAGTTTGATGCTCTAATATCAACTGAAACATCAAAATATTGCTGAAATATTGTGGGGAAAAGTCAATTTATTTTCTGACAAACTAACCATCATCATAATGCTATCATGTGGTCAATGATAAGACAGTAATTTCTGTATTTACCAAAATAACAGGCTGCACGGCATTCATCAAAAAAATAGAATATGTACTATTTTTAAAATGTTTGTGCCAAAGTTTCTTAAACAATGGTAGACGTCAAAACAAAATGATAACTGCTAAAGATTTATTTTCAAACAAAAGCTGCAAAATAATACCTTCAAAATACTCTGTGATTCATTCCACTTGCTGGCCCACTCTCTAGTCAAAGCTGCCACCTAAGGGGAAGATGAGATGGGAAAGTATTGTTTTAACAAAAACAAAAAAAATCTCTTTTAGTTTGTCCATTAGCAACAGATGACTCACCTTTGCCTCATTTTTATGCAACTTTTCTTCAACTTCAACACAGGAAGTCTGCTTTCCTTTGGGAATCTATGAGATAAACACATTTGAATGCTTGGTAGATTTCATGTTCTAGGCTCTAGTTTAACGAGAATTATAGCGCACTGCACCTGATTGGCTTCTTCAAGTAGCTTCCTGAGTCTTTCTATCTCTGCCTGAAGCCCTCGGATCACCTTTACGCTGTTATCTTCATTCACTTTTGGCGAATTGACGATGTTTTTAGCGCGGTTGGCATAGTGCAGTGTGCTCAAGGTCTCTGCGTAGTTCACTTCAGCAGGGGAAATGGCTAAAAAGGTCAAAGAAATGTGGAGTAGACAGGTCAAGTAGTATGGAAATAGGAGGATTAAGTGATTAACTTTGTCTTTCCCATTAAAAACAACTGTGAGAAGAGATAAGATTATAAAGTCTTAATACACTTTGGGTAATGCATGTGTCAGCAGTTTTAAGCATACTTGCTATCATAGTTGTCTTGGAGTTCCCGCCCAGGCTGTCTTTAAGAAGCCATGTTAGCAGAGAGTCTCTGTAGGGAATGAAGATCTGCTTCTTCCTCTTTGTTGTCACTATATTTTGAAACAGGACTTTGAAAACAAGCAAAATATAATTAGTTTTGAGGACCTTGATGTTAAAAGAGAAAAGTACAAAACCAAAATGGGGAGGATCGTAAAATGAGTCTCCTCTACATCCTTGTTCTCATATTTCATAGTCTTAGTAATACAGTGCCTCATATTAGGTCATTATATTAGGCCCTTGTGATTGATTTCAGTATCTTTCAAACTATTCATGTCAACAACAGCTCTTTGATATAAATATAAAATAACTAGATCTCCACAAATTATAGGAATGAGTCTTGTCTCTGTCCTCTTATCACTCATATTTCATAGTCATAAAATACAGCACTTCATATTTTGTCCTTATGTACATGTCAACAGTTGTTTAAAACAAATGCTTGAATAATAATAAAAATCCTCTCTACGTCCTCCAGTCTCACACTTGTACCCTTGTATTAGGTGTTCTTATATTAGCTCATTTATTCATACACTCCATAAGATCACTATTTGTCTCCCATTTTACTTTAAAATAACTCAAATAAGTTGTCTTTATTAATTTACATTTGCAATGGCCATTAAGACACACCACTTTGCTGGTCACGCCACTGTCACTTCATATTTGAACAAAATGTGTGCAAACTACAAAAACTCTACTCTAACAACTACAATATTCTGAATTATTAACATCATTTTGACACGAATACAACAGGCAGTCTTGCGAAGTGTTGCATTTACTAACTCAATAATTAATGTGGCTTCAGTGCATCCTTTGTTTACCAAGGGTTGAGATCACACAGCCCAGAGTGACGAGGGATTTGTTGATGTTGGCTCCTTCTTTTAAGCGAGCCCCTGTGGCACGAGCGGCATCAGCTCTCTCACTTCCTGCCAGATCGACCAGGTGGATCTTACTCATCGTCTCACAGGGCAGAGTGTCCTCAAACCAGGCCTGCAGCAGAATACATGGTGCTGACAACTGTTTAATTGTTAGTTATTGTTCTTTAGAACTATGATTTATGACAAATGGATTAGATTTAACAAGTAAGAGTACAATTACAAAATATATAACTCCAGTTGAAGTACAAAGGTATAGTAAAATAAATTATCCAATTAAGAATATTTAGTAAACTAGTACTCAAGTATACATAGTATATAAGTAATATGTAAAAGTTAAGGGAATTGGAAGGACAAAACATTAGATAATGCACAAAAACAGCTAATTAAAAAATACAATTTGTGTGTCATCTTCCAAACATAAATATATTTGTGAAAAGTAATTTTAAAGTATATGAACCTTTGTAGAACACTTGACCCTTAATCAAGACATTTACAGGAATGCTTAATTGCTTAAAAAAATGCTATTGCTACTGGGAGAAGAAAAGAAAAAAAAGCATCTTTGTTTATTTACAAAGCCCACCCAAAGTATGAGTAGTGCCTCATCAATGACATTGCACTTACCCGGGTAAATCTAACGGTGAAAATGGCATGAGAACGACTGCTGGAATCATTCATATCTGTGTAGGCCGTTGTCCGGTTTGAATTTCCCAATAATATCAGTTCTTCTACATCACTGTAACTTTGCACCAAATATCTGGTCAAATCTTAAAAAAACAAAAGTAGTATTAAAAAACGAGTCACACAGTTTTGCCGATGGGGATGTAAAGATTTGATTAATATCATTAAGTCTGAAAGGAGGGACAATGGATACATGCATGCTAAAGATGCCCATTAGGATGCAAGTACCATTTTGCAGTGAAAGAGGAAATGAAATTAATGTGAGAACAGGATGCAGACGACGGCTGATTTAAGAAACGGATGATTCACTGATTCATGCCTAATAGCAAAAAACAGTTTAATAGGTTTTCTTACTCTGCACATAGGGTCCTTCCTTTGGGTGCTCTCTAACTTTCAGACAGGCCTTATCTGTGGGTACTAAACTCTTTTGGAGAAGATCCTGCACACGTTCGTTGTAGATCTCCAAAAAGCTTGAGCCCAGAGAGAAAAATGCAAATGAGATTCCATCTATATTATGAAAAGATACTAAAAATCCAGGCATTAACTAGTGAACCAGTTGACAGTTCATGAGAATGACAATGCACTAGACTGGGGAACAAACTTGAGTTACATCCAATTCTCTATGAAAAGAGATGACACTGTTTTTAGAGCTAAATTATTGTGGTTGCGTTGTTCTGTGTGCCTTGGCAATGAATAAAACAAACATATGCAAAGCAGCTTTTGGCAGAAAATGTCGATCAATACCGTGGTGAGAGCGTGAAAAGACAAAAACAGTACTCTGAATCGAAAACAATGCAAGGCAGGGAGCAAATTAAGATTTATGAAAGCATGACAGTAATGGGAAAGGCACCAACTGTATCCAGCTGCCAGAGATTATTTGGCACAACGAAGAGCTATACAAAAGGGTCAACTCCGAGGCATATGTCCTGACTGTAACCACAAACATAGATAATGGATTTGTATGGCGTATAACTATGCTAAAGTATCTGATCCATGTGAGTACAAGTAAGTCCATGGAGAATAGTGCACAATATGCGTTTTTTGAGTCACTATACTATAGTTCTTCCCACTCCTTTTTGAAAATGTAAGCCTTTGTATAATATCTTTTACTTTTGATTTGTGACTGCTCTGGTGATGTCATTATTTGTGGCAGGAGTTGTGTTTTATAGATTGCATGTTTGAAATAAATTCATTCACTATGTAGAACAAAATATATTAGTAATAATAATAATAATAATAATATACTTGAAAATGTACAAGTAACAAGCATGTATAAGGAACCATGCATTTTTTCTCAGTTCTGTGCAATTAATTATGTTGAAATGCCACAGTATTTTCATGTATTATGACCATAGACAACTTATAACAAATACTTCAGCTCAATAAATCTCAACAACAAGTGGAGAGGATTAAGCCTTACCTGAAGTCTATCTTACCTGACCTCAGTATGAAATGACACTGCACTCTTGCTTTTCTCTGCAATTTGCTGGAACAGGCCTTCACAAATCCGTGGAATCAAACCTTTGTCTCCCTGAAGACATATAATTTAACCCATTATAAAATGCTCTCCAGGTGCATGGTGTACTTTTTGATACATACCCCATTTATTCTTATTAGGTACATTGCAGTCTAATTTGGGGACATGTGACCATTGCGCAACACAAAGCTGCTGAACAACATTAACGCAGCTCATCAGATATGGAGTCAGCCAAGCATAAAAGCAATTCCACTTTGCGCAGCATTGTGCCCCCTTGTCTTAATTACAAACTAATAGATAGTAAGTACTAGAACTCCTTTATAATTATGGGGGTTGTTGACAACAGCTCTGCCGTTAACCTTGTATAAATCTCCGGGCAGAAAACAAGAAACATTATTGGTGGGATGAGATTTCCCCTGCTGAATGAGGGGGAAAGAAAAGCTACTAGCTGCTGTCCTCATCACTTTTAGTTTGAGTCAACATAAGATTGTGAAGCGGGATATCTGATGAGCTGCACAGTTTAATGCACAGATTATATTATGGGTTTCTAGCCTACAGGTAACACTTGTGGTCTCATTTCATTCAGGGGGGTTAGTCCTCATTTGCTCAAAGACTAAGTAAGTATTTTAGCATTATATTACATGGCAAGCAGATCTATGAAAAAGTTTACCATCTCCTTGGTATGTAGTATAGAGAATATTTTGATTTACTGAACTTTTTTTTGTGTGTGTGAAAATCCTGAAGGCTTACCTTTTGGCCCATCATGGTATAAGACTTTCCGGACCCAGTTTGTCCATAGGCAAATATACAAGTGTTGAAGCCCTCAAATGCTGCTTTGATGACACCAGTCCCCAAATTCTTATAAATCTATAATCAGCAACGCAGATAAACAGTATTGTAGGAATCATCTGATCATTACATTTATAAACTAGCAAGATAGTGTCCTCTTTACTACCTTTTCTTGTGATGCAAATGATGAGCTGTTTGGGTCAGTGGAATCAAAGGAGAAGTCAAAAGAAAATGCTTTCGGTTTTTCTCCACGATTAGAGAGGCATATTGGCTTCAAGGAAAATATTTTATTACTATATATGCTGTTGGCTAGGCTATGTATTCACATGTCAATATACAAATGTAGTTTTAGGCCTTACCTTGTAAATTGTTATATTGTTTGCTTTCAATTCAACAACAACCTTTGAAGACACATTCTTTTCTCTGTTTATACAAAATATTTATTTAATACCTCGCGATTTAATTCATTTATTTGAAGGATTTCAGAAAAAGATCAACTCATACCTTTCATCCAGGGGGCGGACTCGCACTGCCACACGCACTGAAGTCATATTTTACAAAAAGAAAAAAAAGAAAGAAACAACCAGAAACAACTTTTATATCTTTTATACACTTTCTTCTGCCGCGCTACCACCTGCACTGACCCTGATTCCTCCAAACAAACCCACCCAATCATCACACCTGTAAAGAATTGCCCCATCTCTTAGGCTACGTGAACGCAACATCAAAAAACAAAAAGTCAATAAAATAATGCGAAATGCTTATAAATGCTCAACTTTAATTTTGACACATTAGCACAGTTTCAGAAATAGGTGTTTTCCCCCCCGTTTCTCAATGTTTTTATTTATTTTTATTTTTATTTTTTGCAGATTTTCAGATACGGCACCTAATAAAAGTATACAGTTCAAAATAATAATAATATAAATACATAAAAACAGAAGAGTGAATTTCAAACCTCTAAATTAAAATCATTCAAAATATTTCTCAATGTCGACTTTTATTTTTGGCCCATGAACGCATCGTGTCGTCATTGCTGCTTCCCATGATGCAGCGCGAGAAACTTCCGGCGCCGACATTCAAAACTATGGAAGAAAATACGAGTATTTTAAAACTACAAATAAAACATGGAAATAAAGACGTTTCACCCGACGATGATAACGAAGGTAAAGGGACACAAAAGCGACAATCCTTTATGTCCGAAAGCGACACCAATAAAAGTCCGTCTTTATCTCTAAAAGTCACCGATGTACAAACTGTTTCCAATGATGAGACGGGCTCAGACAAACTCTCCGCGGAAATCAACGGGGAGATATCGGAAAAGTCCACGAAATCTTGTACTAAACTTAAAAACGATAATGAATCTACAGAGGAATTGTCTGAAACACGCCCCAGTTGTCCTGCTAACGCTACAGAACTGGACGTTCATTGCGCAGAAAACAAAGAAAACTACTCCCAGCCACAAGAAAGCATCTTTATGGGTGAGTAACCAACTCTTCATAAATATAGGGTGACCAATTGTCCCTGTTTCCCCGGGACAGTCCTAGTTTTGAGCCCTGTGTCCTCCTATCCCAACAGATTTATTCAAAACCATTGATTTGTCCCAGTTTTATTTAAGAAATGTCCCTGGTGTTCCTATTTTGATACCTGCCAACAGTAAAGAGAGGCATACATTGTCATTTGTTTAGAAAAAATATAGAAAAGATACTTAAAAATGACCAAAACATAAAGAAAATGAGACTATACTGACACATCTTAGTCGTGAATAGGTTGAGTGCATAACAATTTTCCTTAATTACACACTCGATTCACAATTTTATTATTACCAACCACCACAAATCAGGCTTGTCTCAGTTTTTGTTTCTATTTTGAAAATCTGGTCATCCTACAATAATATAATAAAACCAAAGCCATTTGTTCTCTTAACTTGTTATTTTAGTATCATGCCATATTTTTTCTAAATCCCTAGCTCCAAACTGAACAATTTTGAGTTTTTACACTTGACTCTTGATCAGTAGCACTTTTTAACTATAAAAACTACTGTGTTCTTTATTATTACAGATAACAACAAGGACAAACAGCACAAACTGGATCAGAATAATGAAGACTCCAGCTTAGGCTCTACAGAACAGGAGAGCAGTGCAGAGATCCTAAAGAGAGCACAGGAGGAGGGTCGGGTCAGTGTGGTATTTCCTGGAACAGTCACTCAGGACGGGTGCTGCCGATTTGTTAGTGAGATACTCAAGTGTGTGCTCTACCAAAGGCAGCAGCTTCCAATGACCTATGACCAACTCGTATACTCACAAAAGAAACAGCAGGCGACAATGCAGGTAAACTCTCAAATAAGGACAACAGACATTTAACAGGTCACACATAGGGGTGGGTGACAGAAATTAATGGCATATATATATATATAGAGAGAGAGAGAGAGAGATTTTTGCTCAATAACAATTATATTCAGTCAATATTTTCACAATTCACTATGAATGTGATAAAATGTGCCTGTAAATATTTTTGTTGAGGTTCTAGAACAGGGGTGTCAAACTCATTTTGATCCGGGGGCCGTATCCAACCGACTTTGATCCCAAAGGGGCCGGATCAGAAAACTCATGTCATATAAACCCCAAAAATAACAATAAATTCAAATATTTGTGCAGAGAAACACAAATCTATGACAGAAATCTTTTTTAATTGATGAACTCTTTCTTTTACAAAATATTATAATATTATGAACAACCTGAAACTTTAAGAAAAATACAATTTCAACACAATGTTTTAACATTAACTTGTTTAACATTAACTTGTAGAAATAGGAATAAGTAATTTTTTCTTGGAAAATCCTGCACTCGGCTCCACTTTTCTCATTTTGGACATTTTTCTGATGAGGGTGTCATGGTCAACAGTCAAAACTATCGTCCTTTAAGAGCGTTTGGTAAGAGATAAGTCTTCATTTGTGCTGCTCTGGTGGGAGGGGCCACGTACAGAGACACTGGAGATGCTGCTGTGATAAACACCACAGAAAATGAACAAGATTTTAATAAAAAATAGAATTAAAATATTTTAGTAGAAAATCGGCTGAGGGACAGATTAAAGGTCTTGGAGGGCCGGATCTGGCCCCCGGGCCGTATGTTTGACACCTGTGTTCTAGGATATAGGACCATAAAACCAACCACAAGGCTGCAGAATAGCAATATATCTTGTTTTCTCAGTTTTATATTTTTATTGTATTATATTTCTCCAGGACAAAGACACAGTGAGGAAGAGACCAGTACAGGGGGCAGACATAGACTGGAGGAAATGCCAGCAGACCCTGCAGGAGCTGGAGGAGGTGCTGCAGCAGTTGGAGGTGCTGTTTTCTCTGAGCAGAGTCCCTCGGGTGCTGCTGCTGATGGGTGGCACCTTAGTCCTTCCAAAAGAGATGTACGAGATCAACATGGAGGGTTTGATCCTGGCATCTGGAGACAAAAGCTTGCGTGTTTCGTCTTGTTTAAGGCAGCTCTTCCGTAACCTCTTTGTGGCTGATCTTTTGTCTGACACCAAGCCGGTTCGTTTAATGCCCACCACTGTGTTTGTGCTAGCTCACAGAGACTGTGGGGTGGGCTGGTTTCGCCCCAAACTACAGTTTAAAGTCCCAACTCGGGTCAAGAGCAAAGTCATGGCTCTGGCCACTGACCTGTGCTCCTCCAAGGATCTACAAAGGGATGAATTGGACTGGGATGATTATATCTGGTTTCAGGCACCAATGACTATCAAGGGCTTCAGTAATGGCAAGGCTTAAGAAATTGTACCTTAATTTTTTTGTGGTTGAAAATGTAACACAAAACAACAAACCTCAAGTACAGATTGTAATTCAAAGGAGTTTTTATTTAAACAAAATAACACAATATAGAACCTGTATGAAATGCTGTCAAATAAGGAAGCTTGTGCTGGTGAGTGCTAATTGTTATATAAATATTTAACTGAAATAATGCATTAACAAATTCATATTTTGTGAGCAATAAAGTGGTGATTTCTTCTATGAATGTCTATCTGAAACTCTAAAAATAATATGAAGTTGAATAATCATTACAAATCCCATCAGTCATGTTAGCATGCTTACTACTGCTCCACTTTTTTGATAAAACTGAAAATGTCATCAGCCAATAGTTGGGGCTCTTCAAAAGCAGCAAAGTGACCACCTCGAGGCATAAATGTGTAGGAATAAATCTTTTTGTACTTGGTTTTTGCCCATGACTCGGGGCAGTGCATCAGCTCTTTGGGGAATGCTGCCAGTCCAGCTGGGACAAATACATTTGTTCTAAAACAAAAAACACAAAAAAGAATTTTCACACACATTTCATATTGTAAAAAAATAGGACAATTATTGACTAAAACTCACAAGCCGTCAATTCTCTCATCAGGGTTCATGGTCAAATTCTCTTTGTAGAAACGCATAGAGGAGACTATGGAGCTAGTAGTCCAGTAGATCATGATCACTGTCAATAGTTCATCCAGGGTGTATTTCCTGTAAGACCAAAAAATGTCCTTCCTCTTCCATATGCCTGTATTTCTGAACCTCTGGGAGTGTTTCTAATCTAATATATGTTATTAGATTTTACTTCTTAGATTAGTACCTCTCTAAACCACCGTCCTCATGGTCTCTGTAGCTGTCGTCAGTCCAAGTAGAGAACTTTTCCAGTATATACGCAGCCAAGCCGACAGGGGAGTTGTTCACTCCACAGCCTGGGTGTCAGTATAAGAATAAACATTACACAAAATTGAACAGGTATCAAAGATTAGTGTAGTAGTGTAGTGTAGTACATTCTCCCACCTGCAGTGTCTGGTTTGGTTCCTTGGATGTGCATGTAGCCTGTTTCTCTCAAAATCGTCCACACATTTTTCTCAAAGAATGGGAACAGCCGTTTGACATCTTCTTTGGTGAGTCCGACCAGGAAGGGCAGATATGGGCCAATGACCAGGGTAAGGAGCCCCTTGAAACCTTTTTGTAACCGTGTTATAAACATGTTCAAATGGAGTCCTTTTACACACCTAAAAACAAAAATAAGATATTACACATAGGACACAGAACATGTGTATAACCTGTGTAACCTAGTTGCACATTCCAGAAACTTCAAGTGTCAGCTTTTTAGATAAATGGTGCACAATGACGTTATTGTTTCACTCTTTAGCTAAAAATGCAACAGTAATCAGTTTTGCAAACTCCAACAGAAAGTAAGACTACTTGTAACTTTGTGCTTCTTCTCTTGACTTACTCGGGCTTCATCTGTGCCATGTTGGTGGTGATAAGGGAGCCCCAGTCTCCTCCCTGCAGATAGAACTGGGAAAAGCCAAGGCGCTCCATCAAGGTCAGGAAAATACGGGCAGCTGCAAGACTGTTAAACCCTGTGTAGAAACTAGCTGTGTTAGTTCCAAGTCTCATACACACAATTGGGACTAAAGTCACAAGATTGTTTTAACTGTTCATATTTTCTGGTGAACCATAGTTTTTTGTCATCCTAATTTACACTTGCATTTCTTTTTTTTTTTTAGCAAAATAAACCAGTGATTGTATTTTTTTTTGCAGGAAGGACAAAACGTTAAAATGAAACAAATATTTCTAAGCACAAACCTTTTTTGTGTGGTGCTTCAGAGTAACCATATCCGGGAATAGACGGGATTATCAACTCAAATACAACATCTCCCTGGTCTTCCGTGAGAAGTGGAATAATTTTGTAGAACTCGTAGAAGCATCCTGGCCACCCATGAACAAGCATCAGGGGCAAAACTTTCTGATGAGCCTTGTTCTTTGGCTGCACATGGATAAAGTGCACATCCAGACCTACAAACAAAGACTTGGATTAGAGTTGTGTCCAGTTTCTGTGAGGAAAAAAAAACAATTCCACTAGTGGGGGTGTGGGAAAAGTAGTTTCAAGTGAAAGTAGATAAATGACACTGTGTAACTGTCTTTTCTCTCACTTTTCACCATAAATCTCTACATTGGTCTTAACTGAGCCTCTCAGTCACTGGCTACTCTGGATTCCTCAAAAATTGGTATCAGCATGCCTAAACCTATTTTAGTCTTATTGCGAAAGAAAGTGTTATAAACCTATAGTTGTTTAAATACTACCTTCAATTTTGGTTTTGTAGTGTGGATACTTGTTGAGCATATCCACTTGTTTCTTCCAGTCAAACTGATGTCTCCAATAGGAAACTACTTTCTTCAGATAGTTTGTGTTGAAGCCATAGTGGAAGGCGCTGTCCTCCAATGGATCTGAGAATCGTGTCCTATCAATACGCTCGTACAAATCCTATAATAAACAAGTGGCACAATTAGTTGTCTTTGTGCACCATTAACTTTGGCATACATTGGTTGATCATTTACCTGGATTTCTTGATCTGACGTCTCCACTTTGAAGCTATGGACTTTTGTATCTTCTGAAAGTCGTTTCACCCCTTCTCCCCACCATCCTTCACCAAGAGGAATAGTTTTTCTCTCTTTTTTCTTAAACACAAAATAGTAAGCAAGAAGGCTTATCCCTCCTGCCGCCAGTGCTGAGCCGATTAGTCTCTGTTGGTTCACATCCAAATCGAAGAAAGTGTTCCTGAAGAGTTTGGGTTGGGTCAAGGTAAGGTAATGGTACATGCACCGTAAGCAATAGATTAAACTTTATTTTACAGTTTTTAGCTTCAATACAGTGAATGCAGCACTTACTTCAAATCGAGTAGTCGCTGCATCGTGTTGTTGCTTCAGTGGCGTACAAATTAATTATTAATAAAGATCCAAACGCAGGGACAAACGCCGTCTTCTTACACTAGCATGGCAGAAAGACGTATATGAAATGACTAATAACAGGTTTTACCTATTTTCCTTGTATGAGGAAGTTATTACAGTGGTGTGGACTCGCCCCTTGGACTGGAACGAGTGGCCGAGGAGGAGGAGAGCGCCACGGGAAGAAACAACCAACAAAGAGCGTGGATTGGTTGTAAGGTACGCAACTCCCACTATAAAAACTGACGTCGCGAGCAGTCATGATCAAACAAGCTAAAAGGTAGACGACAGGAGTTCAACATGGAGAAAACTTTCGTGGCTATTTGTTGCAGTGTGCTTTTTATAGCATGTGCAAGTGCGGTTATGCCTGGAGGAATATCTGATATCGAGAATCTGAATGAAAATGAAGGCGCTTTAAATGCTTTGGCTCACGCTGTTCGTCATCACAACTCCAACAACAACCACACACATTTGGAGGTGGTGTCAGAGGTGTTAAACGCCCGGAGTCAGGTCGTATCTACTTAATTTAAAACATTCACCATTATGGATCTATAGTCAATCATTTTTCAAGTATAAACTTAATTTAGACATAACAGGCGATTCTTAGAGCTGGTTGATGCAGGAAAAAGTCTAAATAAATATTGGCTTTATTTCACAATGATCCAATATTGATACATACATTGGTACATAGCCTTTCCCAATTTGACCTCAAACTGGCTGAAATGTTGTATTTAATTATTAGCCTATTAGGCCTTTGGAGATCTGCATGACAGGCGGGTCTATATTTCTCAATTGTAGCCCACAATTCTATACATACATTTCATATGATAAAATTACATGGGTTTTATGGTTTCATGTATTTTTTTCCCCAACAGGTGGTTTCTGGATCATTATATTATTTCACTGTACTCATGGCAACAACAAACTGCACAACAGATTCTGTGAATGAGCCGTGCACCATCCCTCCTGAAAATGCCAAGGTATTTGTGGAAATTGCAGCAGTGATAGAAAAAGAGCCAACTCATATTACTAAGTAAATTGTGAAATAACCACACTTCCTATTTTTACAAATACACAACAATACACTGAAACAATGAACTGCCTTTTAGTGTATCCATAACTTTGTATATTTTTGTTGTATTAATTGTGCTTGTTACTTTTGCAGATCTGCAAGTGCGAATTTCAGGTGTGGAGCCAACCATGGTTGAATTCTAATATTGTAACTGAAAAGTGCGAGAATTAAACTCCTTTTGTTAGTTTTGAAAGTTTTTACTTGTGCAGGAAATGGCAAAAGTGTTTAATGCAGTAACACAATTATTTGCATTAAGACCGACATGTGGATAAAAGTATTATTCTACAGCAAAGCCACAATAAATGTATTTGAAGTCCGGTGTCTGTGCTTAAATTATCTTAGACCAAGCCTATTATTATCTCTTATCACATTTTACTGACATTACTAATAATTCCTGCTATTGCCCTGAATCAGATATTACAATACAGATGATTCAAAGCTGTGTAAGTGTTAATGCATCAATGTTGCAGCACAACTTTCCTCCTTGTGACAAGAGTTTATGTGCAAAAAATGTTTTAAGAATTACAGAAATGTATTATTGAACATGGATTACACATTTTCAGGCCTTTTCATAATTTCAGTATGTTGGATATGAGATAAATATGTTCAAACAAGAAATGTATCACATTAAAACGTAAAACTTACTTAAGCACATTAAGACTGATATTGTTAAAATGTGAAAATGAAGACATTATAGCCTGTAATTATTACATTTTAACAAGTAATTTTCTTGTTTTAACTTAAAGGCAAACTGTAACTTCCCTGGTGGAGGGTCTGCCACCTGCTTTTCTCCATAATATTAAATATATCAATCCAGCATTTATTCATGACAGGTGTTTCTGCTCAAAGATACATGCATTTCTTCAATCAATAGGGATGACTCTCCACAGATCTGAACTGTAATGTAGCATGTTTTTGCTTCATTTTCAATATATCTTATTATTTCAAGTAGCCTAATTTGAATGGGCTCATACCTTGCTGTCAATAAGATGTAGAGGCTAACAATGTATTCTATTTTATTTTTGCTCATGGCTAAGATGGGTTATTATCTTGGCTTTGCAGATAGATTTTATTTATTTATTTATTTTTTATAAAACTTTTACAGCTGACAGTAGTACAAAACCATAGTGCAACCTAGGTGTACAGAGTGAGTACATGTCAATCATACAGTTATTGTTATATAAGAAATAGAAGAAAGTGGGGAAAAAAGAAGAGGACAGGACAGATGGGAAAGGTTTGAATTTTGTTTTTTTTTTGTTTTGTTTTTTTAAAGCTTCAAGGATTAATTGTCACTGTCACAAGTACTAATGAAAGTACTTTTAGAACATTCCAACACTAGCGTGGTAGAAGTGCAATACTGGACTGTATACACACACACTATTGAGGTATCAATACAAGAAACTGAGGAAGTGGTTAAAAATAAAATCCTAATTCTTCTATAATATTGAGTGTTTCAGTAGATGTATTGTGAGAGACTGTAACAGACAATATTCCCAACAACTGTACAAAAACTCACCCTTATTTAATGGATAACCCTATGTCCTTAATCACATCATTGCTGCACTGTCTTCCTGTGACTTTTTGTATAATGCTGTGATTTTCTTTTATTACTTATATTTTTATTTTTGACTTGTACATATACATTTATATAATTATGCCTTATTTGGCACCTGTCTCTTGCTATCTTTTTGCAACTTATTCAGAATTTATTATTACTATTTATATTTTTTATTCTTTGTTATTATTATATTGTGATGTGAGAGGTACTGTGTCCAAATAATTTCCCTTGTGGATCAATAAAGTTTGTCTATGTCCAAGTCTAATGAATACTGTTTAGTGTTTGAAGAACAAATAGGGGTATGGATTGGAGAATTTGGATTTCTGGATATAAAAATTTCCCAACACAATGCACAGGTTTACTAAATATAAAATTTTATATTGTTTATGGTGGAAGTGGTTTATGCTCAAGCTGTCTAAATGAATTCTGATGGATGTTTTTTTTTTTTTTTTTTTTTTTTTTTTTGCAGAATAAGTGTTTCTAGATTAGTCCAGAGTTCCTCTGAGTATTTACAATAATAAAAGAGAGGGGGAGGGATTTCTACTTCACTATGGCAAAGGGTGCAATATGTTTGAGTTTCCTTGAAGGATCGAATTCGCGTCTCTCAGTTGCGCTCTTGTTAATTGTTACTGTACTTTTTTTTTTTTTTTTAATGATACATATATGCAATATAAACAAATAAAGCAGACATTCTCGATCATTCATAACATAGTGGGGAAAAACAGAACGGAAACACAAAATAAAATAAATGACCGTAATCTAAACCTAATAAAGGAAACTAAAAGAAAGAGGAATCAGCGACTGATTTGGGGGAGGACATCTACCTATGTATTATGTCTTTGTATAGGTTATTGAAATGTCTTTTTTACAGGATAAGTGGTGAATGGACTGAAAAAAAAAGAGATTTATTTCGATTGGAAGAAACGGAAATTAAAGTTACGTAACTTACGTCTGTGCGCGCTGTGACGTCACCCCGCACAGATTGTTTTTGTAGCACATCTAGGTCCGCTTCGTTTTGTGTCTGTTCAGGTCTGTGGTTTGAGGACAGCAGCTGCAGAAAAGACACAATGAAGTCAGTATTGGTCGTGTTTTTTGCCCTGCTTATAGCCGGTGCGTGGTCTGTTATGACCGGAGGATTTAGAGATGTGGATTTTGAAGACGCTGGAATGAGAAATGCCCTGGAGGTGGCAGTGAACAAGCACAACATCGCCAAAAACGACGTGTTCAGAAACGATGTGGTCGAAGTGGTCAAGGCTCAGTCTCAGGTCAGCAGCTTTCACGTGTGCTATGATGTTCTTAATTCCTATTCAGTGACCTTCTGAGATTTAATGCTGTTTTAACCCTTTCAGAAGAGTAGTATTTTTCAAAACCGTACTCCTTGATTGAATTGAAAGAGGAAATGGAACAAGTCCCTGTAAAAATACGCCCAGAAATTAGCATTAATAATTAAAACGGAACCAGTAGACTAGTTTTACTAACTGCGTAGCTATGAGGCAGGCTTAATCTGGGACGCCATTGTTAAATCCTACAAATGCGCCTCGAACACAGTTTACTTGTTCAGTCCTCTCAGCTGATTCATTTGGGAGAAGTTGGTTAGTCAGGCCAACAGACTAATGACACCAATGATACAATAGCACATGATTATTACAAGGGAAACTAAACAAGATTCAAATACCATTAAAAAGTATTTTCAGAAAAACAAAGTACTATATACTACTATTACTTCTTAACATTTACTTTGCTCTTTTGTTAAAGCTGGTGTCTGGTTTGAAGTATGTTATTACTGTCAAACTGGCCAGGACCAACTGCAGGAAGAACAGAGCCAATGAAGTGTGTGCCACCACAGGAGAGGTATTTATATTAATGATAAATGCTCACTAATACATTATTCTATGTGTTGGTTGTATGTTTTTTTTTTATTCTCATCTTCTTTTCTCTTGTAGCCCTACCTCTGCACTTTCACAGTCTGGAGCCGGCCCTGGCTGAGGGACATTCGGGTGCTTGATGAAACCTGCCCTTAGAAATACAGCATTACCTGCCAGTAAAATTGCTAAATCATGGTAGAGCAAATTAACAATGAGCAATAATATACATTTTTTTATGTAACAACCCAGTCTCAAATCTGTATTGTATTACATGATTATACAGGCAAAATTTTTATTAACCGGAAAGCATAATGTTTTTATTAATTAAAATCACTTAATTTTTAATAAGGAGAATTGTGTCTGCTTGCTGGTATTGAAATAAAGTCTGATTTAAAAAAAAAGCACACACACACAAATTTGTCAATATGTGATATTAATGTTGAAGGCCTAGCATTTAGTTGAGTCTGTACATCCCAGATCTGATTTTATTTGACTGACATTTTGCAGGAGAGAAGAGTAAAGTAGTAGTGATTTGAAATGTCCACATCTATCTATACAGCTACACTATCTCTGAAAATATACTGTTTAACATGCCATCTGTCATCTTGCAGGATAACTGCACTGTATTTTAAAGGATTATAAAATGTGTATTGCTGAAAATAAAACCTAATACTTTAATGTTAAAATGTCATTAAATATACATGTGTGTACACTATCTTACAGACTAGTATAAAAATATAAAGTTTTTTTACTCTATCATCAACACTTACAGTATATTAACATTGGCATAGTAAATAAATAAATAAACAGTAGGCTAATTGATGCTTTTTGGTAATACTAAAGTATTACAAATGGCACATAAATCTCATAATTTCATCTCTGGGCATTAATAGGTTAAACTTAACTGCTGACGACAGCAGGTTGTATAAAACTCTGACCACTCCTACATTTAGATCAAATGTCAGTCATGAAGACTCTCAAAAGGTCTGAACTCCAAGTGGCTGAGCAAGTCCTCAAGAAACATCTCCCAAAGAGTTATAAGGTAAAGTAATCAAGATTTGCATTTTGTGCAAAACAGTCATCAGGAATCAGGATCCTCTGGCTGTAGTCAAGAGCGCGAGAGACTGAAGTTATGAAATGCCTTTTTAACTTGCCAATCATTAGCATAACAACGATTAGACATTTTATTACAAAATGAATTAACCCATCGGACCATAAACTGAAAACTGCAGTATGATTCTTCTGTTTACTGCAGTTTGGAGACATTTTCAAAAAATGATGTTCCTTCACCACATGTTAAAAAACAAAAACACTCCATACTACTGTTTGTGTTTAGTACTTGTTGGGAAAATGGTTAAATGGTTTTAGGCACAATCAATTAAACTGCCATGGGAGAACGTTTTATTATTGCAGACATTTTTTCTTTTTTATTTAAAACAAGCACTGGATAGAAAACATTAAAGAAACTGTTTATATTAAACCACCTCTAACAACAACATTTTTTCAATAACAGTGTCCCCTTAAAATAACCACAATTCAATTAATCATTAAACATTTAAAACAGTCAAAATTAATTCATTTTAATTCTAATTTCCATAAATACAAAGTTGTGAATTCATCATTATCTTTTAAAAAATACTCAAATTCATTGTCAAAATAAGCAAAAACTTACTGTCTTTCATAGGTGTATGGATACCTATACAGCATTAACAGGGGCAAACCAACACCACTGGAGGTAGTTGTCGATGCCTGGCCAGATTTTAAAGTAATCATTTGCAGACCTGACCTCACGGTGAGTTCACAGACAGCAGATCATAATAAAACCACCACCATCATTTGATAAGTTAAACTTTACAGAATAAGCATGTCATGGATTACAAGTTAAAAGTGACAGTCTTCAGCATGGATGTGCAGATCTTGAGGACTACGCTGATACAGGAGAACACTGTTGACTGGAGTCTTAACTTCTTATTTGCAGGTAAAATGTTTGCTAGAATGTTAATTCTATATTACGGTGGTGTATTACGGTGGTGTATTGCTATCACTCCCCAAAAAATATTTCGGCTCAGTATCACGTAATTACGTGAAAAGTTTCACGTTATAACGTGATATTTTTCACGTTATAACGTGAAATTATCACGTTATTTCATGATATGAAATTATCACATTATTTCATGATGTGGTATTTTCACGTTATAACGTGAAATTATCACGTTATAACGTGATATGAAATGATCACGTTATTACATGATATGAAATTATCACGTTATTTCGTGATAAGCATTTATCACGTTATTTCATGATATATTCACGTTATTACGTGAAAACGTCAATTATGGTTTTGCGTGATTTCATCATAAGATCAGCCACAGCCAAACCACGCTTCCCTGGGTCCAGTCAACTCCAGCCTGAGCATGGCCCACGCTGAAAATGTGGATTCTCCACTCTTGAGATTACTTCGGGCTCGTGTTGTCTCCTTCGCATGAAGCAAGATCGTGTAAGTGTATTTTACTGTTTCGTCCCCAAGTTGTGTTAGCGTACGGTAGCAGAATGCTCTGTAAGCAACTGCTGAATATTAGAGCTGTAGCGAGCTGTTCGCTGTGGGTAGAGCTGCTAAAAGTAGCCTAGTCTGTTTGCAATTCTGTTATAGCTCCTAAGAATTAGTTAAAGACAAAAGCATTCATTTGACACATTTCGGTGTTTCCAGTTATGTATGAATAATGACTATAAAACATTGTTGACTGTATGCACTCAGACATAGACAGTGTAAGAGAAGGTTATTCAGAAAATGTGGTGTAGTTAGCTAAGCTAAGCCCCGCTTCAACTCATCTGAGCCCGGCCTGGGCAGGGGGACAGCGCTCAGAGGTCCCTGTGCTCCTCCGGTTCAGGCCGGGCTCAGATGATCTGGAGCGGGGAGTGGTTAGGTGCCTCGGCCTGAGAAGCGCTTTTCTCGAGAAGAACCAAGTGCACGGAGGAGGCTCAGAACAGTAACGAACCAGACCGGATTCGCGCTTCTGTCCGGATGCTTTACTCCACCTCAGAACCAGCCGCAACGCTACACCGGAGCAACCCGCACGGACCTATAGTTCACTGCGCATTCTCGCTTTCCCCGCACGGAACCAGCGCGCAGAGGACGGCACGGAACCGCTCAGCGATGTCTTTACTGCTGTTGGCTGCTGCTGTTACCCGAAATCAGAGCTTCTGGGCTGATGTGCAGCGAGTTGTGTACAAAGTTATAGGCTACATGTGCTGTTTTATGAGTTTATGATGATAACTTGGGATGAGGACGGCCGTGGTGTTTTATGGTCTTTATTCATGAAGAACTTGAAACACCGACATGTGTCAAACGAATGCTTTTGTCATTAACTATGGAGCTATAACAGAATAGCAATTTTAGCAGCTCTTTGCCCACAGCACTCGTTCAGCAGTTGCTTACTGAACATTCTGCTATCTTGAGGACAAACAGTAAAATACTCTTACAAGATCTTGCTCCATGGGAAGGAGATAGTGTTCTGGTGTGTTCTGGTACACCACGAGCCCAAAGAAATCTCGAGTGGAGAATCCACACTTTCAGCCTGGGCCATGCTCACGTTGGAGTTGACCGAAGGGAAGCGTGACTGTCTTATTTTTCCGGATCCGCGGCGGAGGCGCGGCTGATCCGCTGCGTATCTCGCGGACCCGCCCAGGACCCGTTTTGGATCCGCGTTCAGAACCGGGTTATCTGGCCCGGATCTGCTGCGGTTCTGCCGCTGATCTGTTTATTATGTCGTTAGGAGCCTAAATGTGCTTCAGATTTAATTCTGATCCACTTCCTACTGACCTAAATACGCACAGCAACATTTGCATTGAAACTGTACATAAAAGGCAAGGCAAGGCAAGGCAAGTTTATTTGTATAGCACAATTCGTACACAAAGTAATTCAAAGTGCTTTACAGAATAAGAAATACATTAAAATCATAATAAAAACAAATCAAAACATAAATAATCATGAAGATTAAAATTAAAAAAGAGAGAAGAGTGCGGAATGAAAACCTTTCAGTTATATGCACAGTTAAACAGAAATGTTTTGAGTCTGGATTTAAACAGCGTCACAGAAGAGTCTGTCTCACATGTTCAGGAAGACTGTTCCAGGTTTTAGCTGCATGAACCTGAAACGCTGACTCCCCTTGTTTAGTTCTGACTCTGGGCACCAGCAGGAGGCCGGTCCCTGAGGTCCTCAGAGTGCGAGATGGTTCATATGACACTAACATGTCACAGATGTACTTTGGTGCTCGGCCATGGAGAGACTTGTACACAAGCAGAGCTGCTTTAAAGTCTATTCTCTGAGGCACAGGAAGCCAGTGCAGAGACCTGAGCACAGGACTTATGTGCTCGTACTTCCTAGTTCGAGTAAGGACCCGAGCTGCAGCGTTCTGGATGTTCTGCAGCTGTCTCACAGCTCGTTTGGAGAGACCAGTGAGCAGACCATTACAGTAGTCTAACCTACTGGAGACAAATGCATGGATAAGTTTCTCCAAGTCTGATTTAGACAGTAAACCTTTGATTTTTGCTATGTTTTTTAGATGGTAAAAGGCTGCAGATGTTATTGATTTTATGTGACTGTTAAAGTTCAAGTCTGAGTCCATTATTACCCCTAGATTTCTTGCCTGATTTGAAGGTTTTAGAGAGAGAGACTGGAGGTGACTGCTGACACTGTCCCTTTGTTTCTGTGGACCAAACACTATGACTTCAGTCTTGTCAGAGTTTAGCTGGAGAAAGTTGTTTTGCATCCACACACTGATCTGTTGGATGCAGTGACCAAGTGACTCCACTGGTCCATAGTCTCCTGCTGCCAGAGAGACGTAGATCTGAGTGTCATCTGCATAATTGTGGTACGACACGTTATTGCTGCTTATTAACTGGCCTAATGGCAGCATGTAGAGATTGAACAACAGGGGGCCCAGGATTGACCCCTGAGGCACCCCACAGGTCAGGGCCATGTCATCTGAGACACAGTTTCCAATTTCAACAAAATACTTCCTGTCTTCTAGATAGGACTTGAACCAGTTTAGTACAGTACCAGAGATGCCCACCCAGTCCTCTAGTCTCTGTAAGAGGATCCCATGATCGACAGTGTCAAAAGCAGCACTCAGATCTAACAGGATCAAGACTGAGACTTTGCCTGCATCAGTGTTCAGGCGGATGTCATTTGTCACCTTGATAAGAGCAGTCTCAGTGCTGTGGTGGGCTCTAAAACCTGACTGGAAAACATCAAAGGAGTTGTTCATTTGGAGAAAGTTCGTAAGCTGTTGGTAAACAGCTTTTTCAAGGACTTTGCCAAAAAACGGCAGATTTGAGATGGGTTCGGAAATTGTTCAGTACTGTGGCATCAAGACTGCTCTTCTTTAGGAGAGGCTTAATGACCGCAGTTTTCAACGCATTTGGGAATGTTCCAGATTGAAGTGACATGTTAACTATGTGAGTGAGTGGTGAAAGTAAACTGTTGAGGACGGACTTTAGAAATCTAGTGGGTAACATGTCCAGGCAGCAAGTAGATGAACTCAGACTGGTAACGATCTCTAAAACAGTTTTGTCAGTTACAGGTGCAAAGTGATTCAGCTCTAAGTGTCTCTGTGGCTGCATGCTTGTTATTTGTGTTGTGGAATTGATGGCATTTTTGATGCCCTGAACTTTGTCATTAAAGAAAACTGCAAACTCATTACATTTAGATGTGGAAATTAGTTCTTGTGGCAGTGGAGCTGGAGGGTTTGTTAATCTGTTCACTGTTGCAAACAGGACACGAGAGTTGTTACTGCAATTACCAATAATGTCCGAAAAATACTTCTCTTGTTTTACTCAAAGTGTAGTTGTACATATGCATTGTTCCTCTGTAAATCTCATAATGAACCTGGAGGTTTGACTTGCGCCATTTCCGCTCAGCCTTCCGGCACTCCCTTTTCTGTGCCCTGACTGAGTCATCATTCCTCCACGGAGCTTTTTGCCTATCTTTAACCACTTTAACCTTTATCGGAGCGATGGCATCCAGAACATTCAAAACACTCAAAGTCACAGAGTTCAACACATCATCAACATTAGAACATGAGGCAATTTCAAAATGTATCATTTCCATGAACAGTGCACCTGTGTTATCATTTATGTGTCTCCTTCGAACAACTGTAGGAGCAGCCGGTGGTTTGGGAATAACAGACAGGTCAAAGAAGACACAGAAATGATCAGACAGAGCAACATCAACCACATTGACATTTGAAATATTTACACCCTTTGTAATGAGCAGGTCCAGAGTGTGCCCTCTGTTGTGAGTGGGCTCACTGACATGCTGAGTCAGACCAAAAGTTTCAAGGACACACTAAGCTCTTTGGCATTTTTGTCACACACATTATCCACATGTACATTAAAATCACTGTAATGACTAAACCATCAGTCTGTGCAAACACTGAAAGCATCTCAGTAAAATCATCAATAAAACTTTGACAGTGCTGAGGAGGTTTGTATATGACTATGTAGAGTATGGACGGTGATTGTTTTAGCTCCATTTGAAGGAAACATACTCAAATGATGAAAACACCCCAAATGACAACCTGTGTGTAACCAAATGATCTCTAAAAATGCACACACTCCTCCACCCTTTTTATTTGCTCGTGTTTCAGATTCAAATTTGAGTTGGAGGGGTTGATTCCACTAGCACTGCATGACTGTGTTTTGTCAAGCCATGTTTCAGTTAAAACATAAAGTCAAGATTAAAAGAAAAATAAAATTGCAAGCGGCGTCGAACGGCCCTCGCCCACCGCACCCGCAAACACTGCGCCCACAAATGGCGCGCCCCGCCAACACCATACCCTAAACGCCGTGTCCACAAACTCTGTACCTGCAAACAGCAACATGATATAGTACGCCTTTAGATGTTCTTTGCGCCCCCTGCTGGCCAACCTTGAAAAATTCCCATGTCAGTAATATATGTTTTTCTTCTAGTCATTAATAGAATTGAATTCCCAAATTTGGTACAAATCCGACAATGTTGACGTTTCATGTCTACGGTAGGGGGCGCTATAGTGTTTTTTCATATGTTTTATAGTGTATTATATTCAGACTGAGATCACACATTAGTGATTCAAATTTCAGCACAATCGGACTAAGTCTGTGCGAACAGGAGCAAATAATGTCACCTTGACATTAGGCAAAATTTTGATCGAAATTTGTGGCTTCGCCGCGCGTAAACCATGACAGTTATCAAAAAAATCAGCTAACTTTAGATGTTCCACTTCTCTAGATGATGTACGGTGATTTTCAGCCCTGTGGGTGAAGCGCCTTCAGAGGAGTTCGTTCAAATGCAACGTCAGCGAAAACGCGGACTGAAATTTTAATCCAAGATGGCCGCCTTCTGGTTTGTCAGGGGCGTGGCCATAATAACATTTTTTGTTTGTCTTCACATGATGAATGTGTGTACCGAATTTCATGGCTCTACGACAAAGTTGACCGGGACGTCTCCCATAGAGCCAAAATTTTGAGTCTTTGAGCCCCTGCTGGCAACAGTGAAAATTTTATCATGGCCATAATATACTTTTTTACTCGTAATCATATATAGAATTTAATTGCCAAATTTGGTGCAGATCCGACAATGTTGACATTTCATGTCTATGGTAGGGGGCGCTATAGTGTTCACTTTTCATATGTTTTATAGTGTATTATATTCAGACTGAGATGACACATTAGTGATTCAAATTTCAGCACGATCGGACTAAGTCTGTGCGAACAGGAGCAAATAATGTCACTTGAAATTACAAAATTTTGACAAATTTTGCGGCTTCGCCGCACGTAAACCGTGACAGTTATCAAAAAAATCAGCTAACTTTAGATGTTCCACTTGTCTAGATGATGTACGGTGATTTTCAGCCCTGTGGGTGAAGCGCCTTCAGAGGAGTTCGTTCAAACGCAACGTCAGCGAAATGCGGACTCAAACTTCAATCCAAGATGGCCGCCTTCTGGTTTGTCAGGGGGGCGTGGCCTTAAAACATTTTTTGTTTGTCTTGACATGACGAATGGGTGTACCGAATTTCGTGGCTCTCGACAAAGTTGAGGTCGGGACGTCTCCCATAGGCGCAATGTATTTTGACTTTTCGAGGTGGCGCTGTGTCGCCATTTTTTTTATGCCATGTACGAAACCTATATTTATCGAATTTTTCGCCACTTCTGAATTTTGGGCAAAGTTTGGTGAGTTTTTGAACGTGTTTAGGGGGTCAAATTAGAGCTCAAAGAGCAGAAGAATAATAAAATAAAATAATAATAATAATTAGCAAAACAATATATCCGAAAACATTAGAACATATTATACGTTTTTTGAAAGCTCTGACTTCCCACGTCACCGTGTCATTGGTGAGTGACGGGCACTGAGGCGCTTGTCATTCGCCATTCGTCGAGGTCACCCATGCCTTCCATTGACTTCCATTCATTTTAGCAGTAGTAAATATGAGCCAGGCCTTGGCGTGGGTTACTGGGATACTGCTGTGCCGGGGGCGACCGTGGAAAAGATTCGGAAAGTCCCTTCCCATTCGCTCCGCTGAGAAGCAATAGGCCCTAGCCTAATCATGAATTAGAAATGATTTGTTACATAAAGATCTGACATTGAGCACAGCAAGTTTCTGATTAGTTTCAGTAGGACTGGATGTTATCTTCTTACAGGGAACATGAACTAAATTTCTCTGATTAGACAGTCTAACTGTCCCTCTTTTAATCTGTCTACGTGTTGTAACTGGAGCTATAGCTCCATCGCAGGGCCCCAGCCTGATATTACCTTTATCATGACTGTATGTCCTGGGACAGCAGAGGCCCTGTGCGTCCTAGCTCTTGGTGATAACAGCTCTGGGGAAAGGCGGGGGAGGGCGAGCAGGGGAGAGTTTGGGTAAGTGACCAGGTGAGGGACCAGGTGAGGGCCGAGGAGGTGGAATACGGGGAGGTTTGGGTGAGGGGCCTTTTACAGCAAGTATCACAACTAGGATGTAGATGCTTACATTTAAAAACATGAACCTCAACAACTCAAAGTTGGATCAGTGATATCCTAACATTAAATCTCATTATTTAACAAAAGAAGCAGCAGATTTTTTTACAATGTAAACGATGTTTATTTTATTCATTTATTACAAATCTTAGAACATGAGTAATTATTATTAACGGTATAGGACTGTATGCCCTTTGAGTTAACCAATGCATTGTTCTAAAAATGAAAATTACAATTTGCAGTCTTTACTAAAATAGTTCATATTAAGCAAAGTGTAAAAAAAGCAAAAATACAAATATAAGCCATATGAGTAAAAGCATGGACAGATGAGAGTAGCCAAATATCTTATTCTTAAAACTTAACTTTTACTTCTGATCAATGTACAGGGGCTCCTTTTGGGGACACTCAGCAGAAGAGCGGTCATCTGGGGAAAAGAATATAAGTTTTGGTTGGTTAGCTAATGTTATCTGTTGTTAAAAGTTATGCCTTACATTATTGTATTAACGCACCGACATGATTGCACTTTAGTCTTAAGAGTCAACGCACTGCACAAATAATAATAATCTGTGGTTAAAAACACAACCAGTTCAGACACCGGTGTCACAGTGGCTCCACAGCCGAGGGGAAGCTTCAAGAGGGTGTCCAGCCAGAACCGAGCCCGTTAGCAACAACTAATGATCACAGAGCAGAGTTATAATTCCGTGATCGTAAAAACATATATGAATATAAGTAGCGATATATAAAAATAGTATTTAGATTGAGATTTACCTCAAGAGATGGAGTTGTCTCGACACCCAACCTCGCTCATCACGAGCTGCTACTGTCGCTAACTTTACTGCTACTGCACTCATCAAAACTGATAAAACACACAATCACAGACGTACAGACATCACAATGTAACGTTAACGTTGTGTACATTAATGATGACTAATACAATTAACTTTTAACTTTTAAACTATTACTTACAGTTAAATCCGCGGACAACAGGTGAGTGCTCCTCCTTTCCACTCAGGTCCAGCTAACAGCTGATGAGTCAATGACGCGTCCGCAAAGCGAATCTGAACCTGTTTAGCCGTGGATCCGCTCATTGATAGTACAGCCGATCCGCAAAGCGGACTGACTGTGGGAAGTATTTGGGGGACCGAAAGCGAATCTGCTGCGGATCCTAATGCTATCAGGGTCCTTATATCACGAAATAACGTGATAATTTCATATCACGTATTAACGTGATAATTTCACGTTATAATGTGAAAATACCACATCACGAAATAACGTGATAATTTCATATCATGAAATAACGTGATAATTTCATATCATGTAATAACGTGATCATTTCATATCACGTTATAACGTGATAATTTCACGTTATAACGTGAAAATACCACATCATGAAATAACGTGATAATTTCATATCATGAAATAACGTGATAATTTCACGTTATAACGTGAAAAATATCACGTTATAACGTGAAACTTTTCACGTAATTACGTGATACTAAGCCAAAATATTTTTTGGGGAGTGAGAGCAATACACCACCGTACTATATGATAAATTGTTATATGTTATATGTTCTCACAGATGGAAAGATGATTGAAAAAGTCTTCTAATGTCAACTTAAAAACTTACCTCATCCAACTGATATAACCAAAGTGGTACAACAAGTTTACCCAGTATTAAAGCCAATGAGATTTTACCTAGGTATATTAAATCCTAGGTTTCATGTTGATGAAATCACTCTCACGCTACTTAGAAACAAAATATTATAATAATAATCCAAAATGATCAAAATAGCATCTAACAGGAATAACAATTTATGTGACTGAAGCATGACTTGTTTTAAATTGATGATATCACTAAAGTCAGCCTATGCTGTTCTTCCTTTCTTAGGCCTGGATGCTTCCAATGTACCCATTATCAAGGAAGTTTCTGCCATGAAAGGTGTAAACCTGAAGACCTATATAACAGTTAAGATGTTGTATTTGCCTGACATTAGCCATTTGAACTCACCAACTGTTGATGGGTAGGACAGCTCTCCTTTATCATTATAGTTACTGATATCACTGTCACAATCACCATTAAAGCTCTACAATGTCACATTTTCGCCAACATTTTAGCCAAGAGTCTTGGCTAGTGTTTTTACTGCTCAAAAAACAAAAACCCTTAAAAACATGGACCCTTACTGTAATCAGGGTTTGCCTTTTTATGAGCACATAAGAAAATTAGTCTAGTGTCTATTCTTAGGCTGAAATATTACATAATGAATCTATAATTTTGTATTTTGTCTTAATAACTAAAGATAGAGATAGTGTGTTGAAATAGTACAACAATATTAATTATCCTAATGTTTTTTTTTTTTTTTCTTTCACAGAGAGCTTGAATCAAGGACCACATCGCTTGACGTTTCTAATATTGATTTGGTGAACAACACTTGGAAGTTTGGCGGAAATGAGCAAGGCTACAGAAAAATTAACAAACTGATTTCCAACTTCCCTTCATTTTGCATTAAGGATGAACAGGGCCAGCCAGTGTCGTGGATACTAGTCTATGACTACTGTGCTGTGGGGATACTGTACACTGTCCCTGAACATAGAGGGAAAGGTTATGCTAAAGTATTAGTGAGTGCGTTAGCAAAGAGACTCTACTCTGAAGGCTATCCTCTCTTCAGCTTCATAGAGGAGGACAATACTGTCTCATATAAACTGTTCAAGAGCCTGGGCTTCATTGAAGACCCCTCTTACAGAGCGGTATGGCTTGAGGTTAACTCCTGACAGGCAAAGGCAGGAATAAATTTAATAAAATAATGTAAAATTGTATATAGCCTTGCAGGTTTCACACATTATATAGTTGATCTGCCTTTAACTTGCAATATCTGTTACATGTGCAGGCTACTATAGCTGAAACACATCACTGTATTATCTGCTGCCAGACATAAGATTTAATATGTGCTCTAAAGAGTGAGTCACACTGAATAGCTCAATTAAAATGTTTGCAAATGAGAATTACTTCGTTTAATAAAGGTTAAATGAGATAAATGCAAATAAAGCTTAAAAATGTGTTTATAGTGTAAATGATCAGTCATTGTTTTATTCATATTGATGTCCAAAATCCAAAACAATGTGTAACATTTACAACAGTAAAAGTTTTAATACAAATGCTATTCAATTTCACCTTTATCAGAAAATCATGAAAATCAGGTGTAAAATATGCTATACCGTTAATCTAAGACGTGATGTGTATGAAGCTGTATTTTGCTAATGTTCAACTTTTTTTTTTTTTTTTTAGTAAATCCCTTTAATAACTGCATAAGAAATCAACTTCAAATTAGGAAAGAAGTTTCACCATTTAAACTTTATTTTTATCAGAGAGCATACACAAAAAGAAAAACGTTTTAGCATAATACTAATAATAAAGAATGCAACCATAAAAAATATGTTGTTTCATATAGCCTGTTATATAGGCCTACATTACTAATCTAACTTATTGTCTTATAATAGCCTCTACAAATAGTTATTTCCAATAAAATTCCATGTTAAATGGTTACAGTTACGTGTCGAAACTGCGATACAATACCGCAGACGAGCTTCTCTGCCTGGTGACCACAGGGCAGGCGCAGGCGCATGAGGCTGGCACTGTGCACATGGATCATGGACAGTCGTGTGGTCATAGATCCATGGGCTGTGCTGAGTGCGTGTGGGAGGCGCCAACCTTTACACATATAGAGAAGCGCCAGCGGTCAGCTCCACACACTAGTTTCAAGTCTTTGCGTGGCATGATTTCATTTTAGTCAGTCATTTTTTATATGTATTTATTCACATGAAATCGTAGATTACAATGGAACTGACAACAGAGCAACTTGAGAGTGCAAAAGTTAAACTGAAACAATATTTACCCCACTCTATAAAGGTATGTGTCTTTACAAAAAAAGACAGTTCTGTTCTTTATATTTCACATTAAAACACCACTTTTTTTTTTTTTTTAAATAAAGGTGTACGGATATTTGCAGCAGAAGCTCAGGACCAGTCAGTCTGATCCAGTAAAGTTTTTTGTGGACCAATGGCCTGACTTTAGTGTTGTTGTTTGTAAACCAATTTGTGAAAAGGTTTGCACTTGTAGGCTATTACAGAGACAATGTAAGGTTATGGTCACGACTTATTGAACTTATTTTTTATTTGTATCCAGGAAGAGGACTTGTTTAAAGACATAGACGTTTTTGCAAACAATGAAGCAACATTGGAAGAAATAATACGGAATTCTAAAGTGTTTGATTGGTCAAAGGCCTTCTGTGTTGGTAAGTAACAAGTCTGGCTATTAGTTAACATATTAGTTAACATATTAAAGTGATAAATTCAGCAATATGTGAACAACAAGTGTAAATTGGTAAGATAATTTTTCGTATTTTACTATTCATCAAAAAAAAAAAAAAAAAGTTTTTATTAGAAATACATTTTTATTTTCTTATTCATTTCAGGATTCAATATTAAATGTTAAAGGTTATGTCTTAATTTGGGTAACAGGTAAACTGAATAATCAGATTATTGTTTTTCTAATTGATAGGTACTCATCTTGTCAACAGGGCAATATTTGCAACAGTGGCATTAGAAAAACACACTGTATGCAGACATCTGGCTGTGTGTCAGAGATTAATCCTAGAAGATGTGTCCAGTCTTCCTGATATCAACTGGTAAAACTTACTGTTACCTTTTCTCATTTATTACTTTCATAATTCAACTAAAAACACTCTCCTTTTTCTCAAGTGCTGGAATCTCTATAGGTTCTTTGAATGAATCCCACATTGAAATTGTCATTAAGACGTGGAAGTTTGGAAGAAAAGACGCTTGGGGGATGATTAAAAACATGGTGTTTAACTTCCCATCCTGTTGCATTTTGGATGCAGAAGGAAGGCCTGTGTCCTGGGTTTTAACATATGCATGCGGCTCTATGGGGATGTTGTACACCGTTCCTGAACATAGAGGAAAAGGCTATGCCAAAATGGTGATCAGTGCACTGGCCAGAAGATTCTTTACTGAGGGATACCCGGTGTACTGCTTCATTGAAGAGGACAACACAGTCTCCTGTCAGCTTTTCAAAGGGTTAGGATTTACTGAAGACGACCCTACATACAGAGAATGTTGGTTTGACTTCACACCAAGTGCTACATAATGGTAGCACTTGGTAGCATTCTCAAGAAGATCAAATCAAGCTCGTCATCATAGCTTTTCTGGAAAGTTATTTGAAGTTTGGGCAGACCTGAAATAAGAAGTCAAGATGTTAGTGATAATTAACATTAGTGCAGTGTTGAGAAGTGTAACATGAAATTAATTTGTAATAATGTAATTTAATAAAAATCAACAATCATACAACTAGAACATATTTACAAAAAAAATTTCTTAAAACACTTTTTGTACCTCTTTTCAAAAAAATCCTCGAGACGGAGCAGCCAGGTTTTCCAGAAGTCTAACATCAGGTCAGAGTTCAGCTGATGGGCGTGGGCAGGTGAGCCATCTTTATAGGCAACAACTATAAGTCCATTCTCAACCTGTATAATAAAAGAGATATTTAGTAGTGTCCTATTGTAATGAATAAATGCGGCACATTTGCTGTTAAAGGTGCACTATGTAACTTTTCTTGTCATCACCTGCTTGTCTCCACCTTGAAGTTACTGCTTTGCACAGAAAAAACTATAGTATGGCATTAACTATCTCCATGAAGACAAACAGGCCAAGTATGAAGCATAGGTAAGAAGCTTAAGCAATCTTAAAGCAATCAAAACTAATTGAATAAATAAATAATAAATACAATAGCTTAATGCCATATTGTAATATTCCATGCAGAGCAATAATATCTACATGGAAACATGAAAATAAATCTGGATAAATAAAGCACCTGATATTTGTAGTTGGCATCAGTGTTCAGAGCTCCTGCGTAGGCTGCTACTTGGATTGGGTTGTCATATGTGTTGCTAAGAAATGGTTTAGGTTTTTCTGAAGTCTTCCAATCAATTACGCATAAGACGCCCCTGTAGGATAAAAGTAGTTAACTGTAGACATAACTAAAATTATGCAAGAGAGGATCAGGCATGAATGAAATAATAATGCATTTACTAGTAACTGCATTATTGCCTAATTTTTATTTGAAATTATAATAACTTGCTGCAAATAGTTAGTTGCAACAAAATAATGTAATACACTAAAATAAATTTTCATTTAAGTGTACATTAAAGCTAAAGTAAACCTTTCTTTGTTTATCCTCATTTGTTTATTTAAATTTGCTTAATTTACTGAATGTAAATTACCTGTAGCGAGCAACACAGTCCACAATGCCGAGATAGTTCAGTGCGTTGTGTTGAACGGTGCTCTCTATGGCACGCACTTCGCGGACATCTTCCAGGACATGTGACACACTCTGCATGTACCCGCGGACCTCTGGGGGGTACTGGGACATCTCAGAGGGGTCCCGGTTAGTCCACTTCACACCAGATGTTAAAGCCTCCTCCAAAGCTGAATGAAATGTCTTTCCCTGTCTAAAAATATCTGGGGAAAAAAAACAAACCAAAGTTTCTGATTATGATATTGTGACATCAAAATACATGAGTCATTACAGTATTATGAAACATTTTAGCATGACCAGACTAAATTAGACTAATGATGCAGCATTTTAATACTAGATTTGATTATTTAAAAAAATGTCCTGTTGATTAGTCACATGTTTTCTACTGATAATAATGTGCTTACCAGTCCAGACTTGAATCAAGATTTGAAGCAGGCTGAAAAGATACTATTATGTATACATTTTAAAATCCAAATGTTTGATTTAACTAGTTCTAAACGGTCTTTGTAACATTGTTACATTTCATTTTTATGATTGTATTTTGCTGTAATTATTATCTATAATCTACAGTAATTATAGTAAAGCAAATAAATAGCCAATCTGAGAGATCCTATGGGTATGGCCTCAAGATACTTACTCTGGCTGTACTCCTTGAAGCCCTCCTCTCCCAGCTCTTGTACCATCTTCCTCTTCCATCTCTCCAGGTAAAATATCTGCTCTGTGGACATAGTCTGCTGAAGGATGCGAGTTACACTTGGGACAGCACTCCTGCCCTGTCCCCTGTTCAGGTGGATCTGAGCTGGTGGTCCTGTCTCTGCCGCCTCCTCTGTTGTCATCTCTTGGGGATCTAAAAAAGGATGGAGCACTTTGGGGGTCCTCACCTCTCCTCTCGTGGGTGTGGTAGGCGGGGGAGTCTTAATAACAGGTCCATAAATGTGGTCATCCTCCTCTTGGATGGTAAGAGGGGTCTGTGCGCTGACTCTGGACATGGCAGACTTTACTAGAGAAGAGTAGCGCCCTGTATCCACTGTGCTGTACGGGCTGTGTCTCTTTGGAGCTGGTAACCCGTGATAAAAAGACAAGTGCGTCACTACGATGTGGGAGGCACAATAACAAGGCATTTGTGCAATAATGCCCAGAACAGTGGCATTTCTGACAGCGAACATTCTCGTCAACTTTACAAAACAACCCGGAAAACAAAACAACAACAAAGAGTCTACTATCCGTGTGTTAAACCGTAATCGTGTGAAATAACAGCTCAGTGTGAGCTATATTAACTTATTTTGAGGTAGTTTCGTTTTCAGCACTTGCCTGGACATGTCCTAAAGAAAAACGTTTAAAAGCACAACAGTTTCCAAACGACGCGCTCGTTTTGTTGCACACGTTATTGTTCAGTGGGACTTGTAGTCCTTTGCGGAAATGTGATAATGGGATTTACGATATTAAAAACTACAATTCCCAGATAATATTGTCCGTCATTTAAATGTTTCCGTACAGACAAAATATATAACTCTGTATATATATATGTTCGTTACGTGTGTTTACATTTCATTCAATGCCATGAACAGTTTTTTAACTATAACAATATATTTAGTACATTTCTTAGTAATTTTGTTTAATATACCAAAGCGTTTAATCTTGAAATAAGTAGTTCAAGATGGAATATGATTGATCTGGGTTCAGACGAATTGCTGGACTTCTGGACTTATCACTGTCCAATCACGTTAGGCCTGGGGCGGGACTTTATCTTCCGTGATCGTCACCAAAATGAGTGTAGAAAAAATAGTTGACAGCTCCTCGTCAGGCATCTCTCCAACAGCAGAGAGCTTCCTGGATTTTGTTTGCCAATTTTTGCTGTTCCCTTGCTTTTGTTACACACCCGATTTTGTGTAGCACCAGCATGACATCCACTTTAGACGAAAGCAATAAGGAAAAAGTAAGTTTTGTTTGTTTTTTACCATGCAAACTGCACCAAAATCAATACTTGTAGCCCCCGGTTAGCCAACACTGTTGCTGTTTAGCTAACTTACTATCGCCTATAGATAATCACGCGACCAAAACCCATAGCGGAATGTGAGAAATAAAATACTATAATTGAACGTGAGATAAATTTATGAGACTGAAAGTTAGGCCTTAATAATTCAAAGTAACTTGTAGATTGGTGGGCACCGTATAAAGCTATAATGAGTCACGCTGTTGCTTTTACTGTTGCTAGACATTCACGCCTGGACATTGCTTCTCAAATTGTTTGGGTCAGCTGACTTAAAATGATATGCCATTTGTCTAGTGTCCTATATTAAAGGCTGGAGGACAGTAAGCTAACTTGTAATAGCAGTCACTGTGGTGTAACAACTATCTTATTAACTTAAGACTGAAAATTACTAGGGAGGTGTTCATCTTAAATTGTTATTATCAGTTTTATTTTTAATGCAATACATTTACAGTTAGATTTTCTGATGATGTTGTTTTTCTCTCTTAGATCCGCTCAGTTTCAGTGGACTTGAACAATGATACTTCACTTCTCATTGACATTCCTGATGCGCTATGTGAAAGGGACAAAGTCAAGTTTACTGTCCATACAAAGGTAAGATATCTATTTTATGTAAAACAACTGTAGTTTCTTTACTTGGTATCCAAAATGTAAAATATATTTTTCTTTTAGACGACACTGAGCACTTTCCAGAAGCCAGAGTTCTCAGTTCCCAGGCAGCATGAAGACTTTATCTGGCTACATGACACTTTGGTTGAGACAGAGGAATATGCTGGTCTCATTGTAAGTTGATTCGATCTAAATACTGTATAAATGTAAACATACAAGCCACATGCTCTTTTAAAATGTGCACCCATCTTTCTAAAAGATTCCACCTGCACCACCTAAACCTGACTTTGAGGGCCCTCGTGAAAAGATGCATAAACTTGGAGAAGGTGAGGCGACTATGACAAAAGAGGAGTACACTAAAATGAAACAGGAACTGGAAGCGTAAGTACAACAGTTATATGCAGACATATAATTTTACGTACAACTAGTTCCTCAATATTGTTTTATTTCTCTTTCAGGGAATACTTGGCTGTGTTCAAGAAAACTGTGCAAGTGCATGAAGTCTTCCTACAGAGACTCTCCTCGCATCCAGTTTTAAGCAAGGACAGAAACTTCCAGATTTTCTTAGAGTACGACCAGGATGTAAGTCCCACATTAATGCTGACTTCACTTCCCTGGTTGTGATCTGGAAAACAGAGGAAATGGAGTTTACTGGAGAGTTGTGACACATGCCCTCTGTCCTGCTGTGATCAGCATTTGTGGCCTAGGTCAATAGTTATGTGTGTTTGCTAATATCAATCCATTGCATGACTTTAAGACTTGATATTTATGTGTGAACAGCCTCTTTGTTTCATTTTATTATACTAATAGGTGTAATTTTTTATTTCCTCTTTTGTCTATAGCTTAGTGTGAGGAGAAAGAATGCAAAGGAAATGTTTGGAGGATTCTTCAAAAACATGGTGAAATCGGCAGATGAGGTCCTAATCTCAGGAATAAAGGTTTGTTATCATAGCTTTTATTGCTGTATTGCGTTCTTCAGTAACTATTGGTAACTTGTGCATGTATGTTTCTTTCAGGAAGTTGATGACTTTTTTGAGCAGGAGAAGACATTCCTGCTCGACTACTATAGCAAGATTAAAGACTCCACTGCCAAAGCTGAAAAAATGACCCGATCACACCAAAGTAGTGCTTATATCTTATAATTATCAAGACTAGTATGTCTCAAATAATGTGTTTTTAATTATTTTATTTGTTTCAACAGATATTGCTGATGACTACATTCGCATCTCTGCAACTCTAAACAGCATTTCCGCGGATGACAGTACAGCAAATAAAAAGTAAGTTTGATTGTTTGTGTATGGTGGAATTATAGAGTATTGTACATAAACACTAAATTACTGTTTTTATGTGTTATTCAGGCACTTAGAGAAATTGTCTGACCTGTTTGAAAAACTACGAGTAAGTCCAATCTTTATATAATATATCTATCTCTGTAGGAATTACATCTAGCTTTGGTTTATGTGCTGAATTTGAGTTCTTTGTATTTTGTAGAAAGTGGAGGGACGAGTTGCCTCAGACCAGGAACTGAAACTGACAGAGCTGCTTAGATATTACATGAGAGATATTCAAGCAGCCAAGGTGAGGATGAAAAGAATGAAACATGAATATAAGCATCCTGAGCATAAAGACATTTACAAATGTGTGCTAGTGATTGCAGAAAAGGGTGAAAACCTTTTATGCAAGGGTGAAAACTTCAGCCCTTGTGGGTCTGTGAGATTGTAACATTAATTAATCAATGTCTACCTCAGTCGCCCATGAAATCCAGTGGTCGTGCTTCATAGCACAGGGAGTAGCTTTATTTTTAAATGGACAATTTAAATATAACAAAAACAATGGTTACAGTCTTAACTAAATATTTCGTTTTAACTTTTAATTAAATCTCTTGAACTGCTGTAACTCTGAACCTTGTTAACAGGATCTGTTGTATAGACGAGCCAGGGCTTTGGCTGATTATGAAAACTCTAACAAGGCTTTGGACAAAGCCAGGCTGAAAGGCAAGGACATTCCCCAGGCTGAGGAGCACCAGCAGCAGTGTCTGCAGAAGTTTGACAAGCTTTCAGAGTCTGGAAAAAGAGGTTAATGCCTTTTTATGTAATATTAGAACAAATTAATGAACATCACAGTTTTTAAAATGTATTTGTTTTCTCTAGAACTCACAAATTTCAAGGGCAGGCGTGTGGTGGCCTTTCGGAAAAACCTCATAGAGATGGCTGAACTTGAGATAAAACATGCCAAGGTGAGTGTAAAACTGTCTCTTATCTGCCTGACAGCAAGACAATGTATAAATAGGTTGCTGGTGAACAGCTAGTATAAGTTTATTCAGTAGTGAAAGACATGCTGCTTTAGCTTTTCACATTTTATTACAATTTTAAAACTCAAACACGTTCCCAAGTCCATCTTTTAGCTTATTAAAATTTACCTACATTATCACTGATGGTTAAATTAGATTTTGGGTCAATCACTCAACATAGTAACAACAAGTAGTTACAGAAGAGAAGAAAGCTATAAGGATTGCATATTTTAAGCCTGACCTGTCCTAAACAACTAGACTACTACTGGACCAAATGAAAAAAAAAAAAAAAAAAAAAACACAATTCATGCCTAGACTGAATTGAAACCAGACCGTTTCTTTTCTTCCAAACCACGTTGAATATGGGTGCATGATTTTACCCAAAATACATAGCATAATTCTTTTTTAAGGTCCTCCCAGTTATAATAACCAGATTATATTTTTGAAATCCATCAATCAGAAATGTGCCTGCGTCCTTGTTGCCTAATATTAAAAGACTCTAAGAGAATAGTAAACAGAGAATGCTTAAAATATCACTTAATACTTAACATTAGATTATCTTTTTCAGCTTTTTCTTTTGTTTTTTACATTAGATTATATACTCAATATTCTAATTTCAATAAACAACTTGATTTGTTTTATGTAGACTATCCTTTGCATCTAACTAGTCATGGTAGACATGTTGATGTATGCATTTGCTGAAAAACTCTCCAACTTGTCCATCTTGTCTTCAGTCATATTAAGTAGACATATCACTTTTTCTATTAGGCAGATATTGTGTTAGGGAGCTGTAGTTGCCTTGACGTGTTTCGGCTGATTGCTTCTTGCCGCATTCAGTTACAATGTCAAAAGTCTGAGGAAGGCTAGCAACCTGCAGCCAAAATATGTCAAGGTAAACACATTGTCTGCCTGGGAAAAGGGATATATCCAACTAGGGCGAGGTAATTTGGCAAAAAAAAGTATTACAAATATTTATTTTACTCATATTGATTTATTAGTTTCTTTTTGACACATACAATAACTTTTATTATTAGAGACAGTACAATTTCTTCTTAAAATACTGAATTCTTATTCTAACTGAATTCTTCCCTGCTCTGTAGAACTGTTGATTCAAAAGCCCCAAGCTGATCATTGTTAATTTGAAATCATTACATTGCAATCATAATTCAGTTCAGAGCTCCGCTCAAACAGTGAGAGATACAGGTCCATAGTCATACTCATACGCCATACAACTGTACAACAACTCACCCTTATGTCATAGATAACCCTATGTCCTGTCAATCCTTATTTAATCTTTACACTGTTTCTCATTACAACCTCTTGTATATAGCTGAGATACATTTCTATTACTATATTCCTTTTTTATATATACTTGTATATATACATTTATATAATTATGCCTTATTTGACACCTGTCTCTTACTATTTTTGCTACTTATTTTGAATTTATTGTTACCATTTATATTTTTGCTCTTTGTTATTAAAATATATTGTGATGTGTGACCTACTGTGTCCAAATAATTTCCCTTGTGGGTCAATACATTTAGTCTAAGCTGAAGTTAATTGCCCTATGTCTAACTGTGATTTCTCATCTGTGCAGAACAATGCCACTCTATTGCAAGGCTGTATCGACCTCATCAACAGTAAGTGATGTACCCACATAACTCTGCCTTCACCTCCTGTTCAGTGGACACATGTAGAGCTTTTTATGGACATAAAACCCCTCCTTTTTTGACCCATGGGCCTTATGTCACTTTATGAACCTGCCCAAGACCGAGCCAGTGTCTTGTACGTAAGCAGAATACCTGTATGTTTACACTCTCCTATGCTCCACGCTTTATCCAATAGTTTTGGTTGTACAATTTCTTTACGAATTATGACTGGCAATGTATTTCTGACAATTTTCCCTTGTTTTATATTGTCACATTTGATTGTATTGTCACATTTGATTCATTGAATTTGATTAATAATATTATACTGCCAACCATAGTTTAACTTCCATCAAAAATGCATGAAAGTAAGATTGTTTACGTGATTTACATTCAACTTTTTAAACACATTTCCACATAATATGCCTAGTTCAATTCATATTTGCCAATAAAATGATAACATCAGTGCCTTTTGACAGATTAATACCTAACCACAAATTAAATACCTAAGCAGCATATAACCACATATAACCCCCTAACCACAAGCATTGATTAAGAAGTGTAGAACCACATTGAACCACTCCTGGACGACTGATGGATTACACCGTCTCATTAATTATGAAGAGACTTTTTAAAATCTCTTATTGAAACTGTATTTTGGTCTATAATTTCTTCATAGGCTTCTACTTGTTTTATTTTCTCACCTCTGCAGTACATGTTACGAGAACTGTCTTGTTTTTCTTCTTCTCTTTTTTTTCAAATTGCAGTCTGCTTGTATCACATAATGTAAAGTAGATTACTCAAGTTTAAATTTAAACTGATGCACTAGAAGGTGAAAAATATATTGCAATGCGAATATGTGGAGTCAAAATGCATTATAGTTTTTTAAAGAAGTGAATGTTTTTCTTATGAATTCCAGTTCATGTGCAAACCTTCCCATAGTCTTTATTGGAGAACACAAGTATTTTATAGATTTGTAATGAGAATAAATAAATCCTACTTTCCCAAGACCTATTGTATCAGTTGTACAATTTCTGTAAACTTTTGCATGAAATATAAAAACAAGATGAGTGTGAAATAAATACTCAAGTAAAGGTATGAAATTTATCATCCATAAGTAAAATATTCAATGTGCTGTTTATTTTGTGATCATTTTTACGACTACTATTTTATTGTTTTCTTTTCATTTCAACAGAGACATACTAACTAAATGGTGATGAGGTCACTAGAGGGCAGCATAACAGCAGGTAGCTCGTAGGCAGCTCTGTGTGTGTGGTTGTGTGGTTGTGTTAAATCCATTGGCCACCACGGATCATGAAACGAGGCATTCTAATACATTAGGTAGGCTCAGAGGAAATGCCAGGATACTCTAGGGAATCACAGCCAGAATGCACTTTTATACACGGATTCAGGAAAAATTAGCAGAAGACTGACTGTTACCACTACAGTACTTCCAACTCACTGAATGCCATTTTGCGTTCTTTCATAAATTCACCAATATTGGATATATTTATGTGCTTCCTCCAAAATGCACTTTTCTTTCTTTTTGCACTTAATTAACTTTAAATTAGGACTTGGTGATATGAAAAAAAAAATAAAATTATACACAATTTTGTTCTTTGTTGACATAATGTTCAATTCACTTTTTCTATGGCTCATTAAAATAATAATAAGAAGAAAATATTTGTATATACAGTATATATTTTTAACACAATCAAGACAGACAGAAAATTACACAAATTTCCTCCCCCCTCCTCTGAACTTTGCTCTAAAACACACTTTTACTGACAGAAAACTGGTTATGGACCTCAGTTAAAAAGACCCAAACTTATTGACCATAACAGATGACTGAATCTCAGTCTCGATTAAAATCTGATTAACTGCATACCCCTAGAATTATCTGCAACCCCATATCTGAACAAAACAAAAATCTCCTTTGCCACATAGGTGGAAGTTAGAGGAGGTGAGCTGTGAAGAACATGGCAGCCTCTTGTACTGCGCTGCTGAGCCTAGGAATTTGCCTACTGATTCAATGGACTCTTGTAAAACTCTTCAAATTTCACCTTGCTGTACTTCAGAAACCATGGGCCCACTTTACACCAGCCTTGAGAATTGCTGACATGTTAACAAGCACAGTGTTTCCCATTCTGCTTAGACTGTGATAGAGGAATCGTTATTTTTATGTTTATTTATTACAAATGATTAGAGTATAAATGTAATTAATAACCTTAATCTTCAAATTTTATATCTTATCTTATTAAGGCAAATCTTGCTAAAATTCATTATAGCTATTATTTCTCTCAAGGAGCTTCTTCAAATATTTAATTACAAACTACAAATGAAATAAAAAATCATTAAAGTTTGCAACAAAAAGATGTTGGGTAGCCAAATTCAATATTCATCTTGCAAATTCAGCTCACATCATTATATTTGCCAGTTTAAACTCACAAAAGCTCAAATTAGAAAAACGGTAAGAGTCTCATTTATTTTCATTGGATTAAAAATGTGTGAAATCTAAATTTAGAGAATGCCCTGTAAACCCCCTTGGTAAAGTGCAGGATACAGTCTCACTTCGAGCTGACAATAGCCCTTTAACTGTCACAACACAGGAGGGCTCAGATGACCAGGAGGTTTTGTGAACTGCACGCTGTAACTCAACTTTTTCTAGGTTAGCGTGCCCTGCCCTGCCCGGATAGTCCCATGGAACAAACACATGTCAGATCAGGTTTTAATTGACTGACATATGTGACAATGAGGTGAGCCCCATCACACAAAGGGAATACTGTAAAGACAAATGACTGCTACATGTTTAGATGTCTTAATGGGCTTTCTAACGCATAGAAGCGCTATATAGAAAAATAATTCAGGTTGAAAGTAAATACTGTATGTTGGTGCGGAGCAATGCCAAAAGTATGGTGCAATATTGGAAAGTCTGTTAGATAGGGCCGCACTGAGACCTTTGTAGAGTTATCCCATTCATCATTGTAACTGCCCAAACTAAAAAGGCCCTTCAGGTTCTGGTTCTGGTTGAGTAATTGACAGACTCCAAGTGGACATCACACCGATGAAGGGATAAATAAAGTTACATTTATTGAATGATTGATTCATGGTATTTTTGAATTGTAGCCTAAAACAGTTCGGCTATCAGCTGCTAATTGGAATACCCCATCATTAGCACATAGCTGTTGGATAGGTTCCAGTCCACACTGCTACAATTGTATACTTAAAATCTTAAGTCAATCTGTGATACTCATTTTAAAACAACTGGTAAATATTAGGATGGCAAATGTGCCATAGATCTATTTGTAACTGAAGTAATCCATCATCATCTCATTTGCTGCCCTGTCTTGTGTCTATGTAAACATACTTGACAATGTAAAGACAAACTAGGCTACAAATTGTTGTGTACTTAACAAAACACAGGGCTGCCGACAAAATTGACTAATGGGCAGGCTATAAAAGTTTAGCAAAAATTCTTAAATGGTCATTAATAGGAATCTTTAGAAAAATCTTTTAAGGAATGAACTTTGATCAAATGAATCTCTTTAAAATATACCTAATGTAAAACCTTACATTTAATTATTAAATTATCTTATATGCAACAACGTGTACCTTTTCTTTTCCTCTCAGACAAGTTATCTTTGTTTGAGCGAAAATCCTTTGACCACGCATGCCTTATCTTAAAAACTACAACTCCCAGCATGCTTATTTCCGGTCCGAGCGCCTCTCAGCCAATCGGAGGCCTCTTGGATTAATGGTCGCTATCTGGGGCACGGGGCCAACACGTCTAGCCAGCTCGAAGTGCCACGACTTCACAGTGGACCACGGATTCTCCAGCGGAGTGCAGGGGACCTCTGAAAAAGGCAAGTTAGCCAGATATCCGGGCAGATCGGTGGCTTGCAAAGGGAGACATTGCATCTCCTTCTTATTTGTGAAGAAGCCGACTTAGCCACATCTACGAGGTGAGTGGAGAAATAGTGGAATTTTATTATAGAGGCAAGGGATGATAGCATAGCCAGTGATGCTAACTTTAAAGCTAACTACTTTTTAAGAGAGAAATCTGAAATAATTTCACTAAATACCATGTATTTGTGGTATTGTTCATTTCCTTATTACGACGTGGAATATATTATGTAACGTCAGACGTGGACACACTAAATCATCCAGGATGCTAGCAAAGTTCATTGATTCATAATGTTGACTCAAACTAAAACCTTTCTGGAAATTATAAAAATAATCTTATTCATTAAGACAATTTAAAACGACATTAAGCACAAAAGAAAGGCATTTTTAGCCTTTGTGTGAACTATAACGGGATCAGTAGATCATAGATTTGCATGAAATACCACAGCGTCTTTCTGAAGTCCAGATGTGCCCTCACTCTCTGCAGCCACTTCTTTGATGTTCAGTTCAATAACTTTGGTTCAAATATATATTCATTTTCCTAGTCTAACATCCAATATATGGTATCTTTTCATATAATATTTACATATATTTGTCAAAAAGTTATATAAGTTAACTGTATCTGCAAATATTGTGATTCTATAGCTTAAAGTGGTATTTAATGTTGAAATGCTGCCATGTGACTTTAAAGTGCAAACTGTTCCCTGAACTGAAGTGAGCAGGGACTCTGGACCCAGCCGTGGATTAGCTCAGCATTTTCCATCTTATTTGTCTTTCGTAAACTACAACTCTTTTTGTTACAGCCTTTTAGCCTTGAAGTTTGTGCATGCTGTTGTGTTAATTCAGTACATGATGTCTTCTCTATAGTAAAAAAAAAAAAATCTGCAGGATGAATGAAAGAGGGGTATTTAACTTCCCCTCTGGCCTCTGCCAATTTTCCTATCCCAGAGGGCGGCTAAACATTCTCGGGTGTGATATAAGTCTATAAAAGCCCTCAAGCCACAATATTATTTTGCGGATAGTACTTACTGTTCAGGACACTAACATAAACAAATTTCAACATAGTTTGTCAATAGGTAAAATTATCTTAAAATTACATGTGGCATTTCAATCAAACCTAACCTTTCCTGCTAAATGCCTGTCTTGCTATAGTTTTAAGAAACTAACTTTATACTAACAAGTGTCAGCATAATTAGGACAGCCTCAATAGGTAAAATGATGTAAATTTTTTTTAATTTTGACTTGTTTTATTGAATTGGTACATGCTTTCATTTGAGACGTCCCAGTTGCCCATAACTTTAACACACTTTCCATAGTCAGAGAGGGCAGAGGTTAATGTGAACAGAACATATCTTTTACATAAGGTACAATTCTATATGATACACAGGCTTTGACCATCTGGTATTTGCTCACAGTTTGCTGATAAGATTGCGTAGCTGCCTATAGAGAAAATAGAGGGTTTAGGGGTAACAGTGACACCCTGAGGTTTTCACATGTAAAAGCGATGAGAGCATTTGATTACAAGCGACTTTGTGCAGTTACAGTTCATGTTTATTTAATAACGGAGGCTTTCTTTTACTCAGGTCACCAATTGAGAAAACACATTTAATTATGTCACTAGGGATGTGCAATTAAATGTGATTGCTATTCGTATTTAAATTAATTACTCAAAAGTTACAATAGGGAAAATAAATATTAATTAAATTATAGGCACTCAAAATCTACAGTGGCTTTAAAACACAATATCACAACACATTTATAAATGATAATAATAAGTACTTATTCATATAAATATTCTACCCGGTTACTTTTGACTGTACAGATTATCTTCAAATGATCAATTGTGATAATCACAGTTCTGATTTGTTTTCCATAGCTGAGTAATGGCTAAGTAACCAAATGCATATTCTACAATTAGAGGAGCATAAATCTTATCTTATCTTATCACTGTTGCTATAGTGGTTTACAATTTAAAACAAGATTAAACGTTTTGAATGGGGAAAAGTCCTCAAAATGTCCTGTATAACACAGAGCTGATAAACATGAATATATTTTTGAAATTATTAACCACTTATATGCATTGTGATTTTATAGGACAACCATGGAT